AAAAAAAAAAAAGAAAGAAAACTCTGCGTTTCATCGAGCGTTCAGGCAGAAGTTGGGTGAATTTTTTTCACGTTGGACACGTCTAGGAAATTATTGACGAATTAACAAACGTAGGCGGGACTTACTTTCGCAGTGTATGGATAGATTATCATCGAGCCGTTTACGACAGACGTTGCAGAATTTTCGTCTATGATGTACCTGGTCGGACCAGCAGTGTGCAACCGGGTTCTGCAACAAATCAAAAAAAACGAAATTCTCGTTTCTCGTTTCTCAGCCATCGGAAAACGCATCTCGCTGGTATATTTACCCTCGAAGCTGCACTTTCTGCCCTTTCCCTTCTAACTTTCGCTTCGTTCAAAAACAACCATCGTAAAAATAATTGACCATTTAACGCTGGACGACCTTTTTCCTCTCATTTTTATTCACGATCATTTTACAGAAGGAGAGAGTAAAGAAAACAAAAGCGTGGCCAGTTGAAAGATCAAAAGTTTGTTCGAAATGAAGAGCACAAGGGGAGAAGCTAGTTTTCAGTTTTTTTCCTTTTTTTTTTTTAGCGGAGACAGTTTTAAAATTTTGATCGAGCAAAATACAAGTACGTACATTTCTATCGATCTCTTTGACTTCAATGTGTCATCTGACGATTTTACGAATTACAATTGTAATTGCAGGCGAAGAAAAAAAAAACATTAGCCGATAAGATAACGAAGTTTCATAGAAATCAAAGTTATAATTAAACTCGAACGAACATGTTTAATTCCAAAGTCAAATAAAACGACAACTTTTCATATTGATTTACAACTAAATTTCAAAACTTTGCGTGAAGAATCACTGCTGTCAGTTTAGAATTCTAAAAAAAAAAAAAAAAACGTTAAAATATTACAAATATTGCTCCTTAATGTGACTAGTGAAATATTATTACCCTCTGATCTTTGTTTTTACGAAACTTCGAATCTACGAGCTTCTATTTTAAAAGAAAAACTATTCATACATCTTTGAGCCTTCGTTGTATTCATCAAGGGCCATTATCGTAATTGGCTTTTCCAGTTTTCGCGAATAGAAGAAAGAAATCTAGTCGTGGTTCCGTGACATCTTCGAATACGATGGCGCTGCTGTGAATGGAAGGCTCGATAAGTTCACCTCCGTTCCGCGAACGGAACTTTCGACGCAGCCATGACACTATGCAACCGAGTATTCTCAGCAGCGCCGCAAATATAGGTCGCGGTGGAAGAATTCGCTCATCTCCGGTCGCACAAAAGGGGGCAAAAACAGAAACGGAGGGTATTCTTACCTTAATGAGACTTGCCGCGATGCTGGAGCAGGGAGAGACGACGGCCTTGAGACAGCGGTCGTGCACCACGAAGTTGCAAACTGTAACAAGAAGCAGATGAAATGGAGATCTCCGCCGTGTAATTTGATATAATCCCGGGGCAAGATGGGAATTGGCACCTCTCTTTTTCATTTATGTAAAACAAAGAGAAAGGCGGCACAACGGACACACTTTCCACCCCTGAGGGAAGAAATTGTGTCGGACGATAAAGATGGATCTGACAAAAACATCTTTTTGTATCTATTCTTGATGTGCGACATCGAATTTCGTGTAGTTCATTCATGTTTTTGGAGAGATTCAAATTCAGAGAGAATTATTCGACGCGTCGTTGGAAGCTATTTATAAAAATTGCCGGATGACAGTAACTATACCAAAATAGGATTAGATATTAAAATAGGACTGTGACATTTTCGTGATATTTCGGGGTGGCTAATAATACACACGACACGAAAGACAGACGAAACAAGCGTCATCAATTTACAATGGCTAATGTAAAACAAATAATTATAGTTTACTAGGATTTAAATCATTGGGCGACTGCCAATGCCTTGATACATTTTGAACAAAATACCATTCAATTCCAGCTTCAATGTATGCCCATTGTTTCAAATATAGTTTTATTGCGTACCATTGGAAATAGGATATTTCTAGGTTGTTATATAAAAGCACAAAGAGTCACTTATCATTTCTTTCGTCATTTCAAATATCATCTATCCAAAAGCAATGGGGAAAAAGAAATTTTTCTTTTTGTTTTCTACATTATTGACATCCATTGACAAATATCGAGAGCTTGAGTTTCAAATTTTCGACCAAAGTCTCGTGAAATTATATATATATATATACAATAAACGAGAGTCGTTTATAATTAGATCCAGAATTATGAAGTACGACAGTCGTTTAAACTTAGAGCGAAATAACGACTAGCAAAATTTGGACAAAACGAATCTGACCTATTGGTGAAACGCAAATCTGGCTCGTCGCCCACATGAGATTGATATCCATTACATAATTTCGCAAAGACAAATGTTCAAATATTACAAGAGTAATATTGACAGTACTCGATTTTCGCTTATCGTGGTGGAATTAATTTACATTGTACTTTACCGGCGATATCGAAATATTTCTTTGTTCCATCGAGTGTGTAACAAAGATGTAACAAAAGAGAATGGCATTCGTTGATTCAACAGCATCGTGAACGAAGAAAAAGATGAAAAAGTCAGTTTCACTCGTTCCCGAACCCTTGAATCAGAGCGTGAAATTCTGTAACACTTTTAAACCCCAACCGGATTAAACGCGTAATATATATTAGGCAGTTAAACGTCGATGAACAAAATTAGCAGGCCACCGCGTGGAAGCAAAATTGTAGAAGTAGAAACATCTCGTAGAAAATAGCGATGTCAATTTGAAGCCGCGTCGATGATATTTCATAAATAAAACGAAAAAGAACGCAGAAGAAATAAAAGCGTTAAACATAGAAAATAACAGAGCAGTCGATCTGAATGTGTATCAATTAACAAATTCTTCGTATGCTGTGACGACAATTATGATTTAATTCTCTTTCCTTTTTTCATTTTCCTATTTTTCTCTCTCTCTCTCTTTTCCTTCATTTAGAATGCAGGCGCAAATTTTTTTGGCGATCCTTATCGAACGTATATTCAAAATTTTCGCCGATAAGAACCGCGACGTTATTAAATTCACCAAGTTGGTTTTACTTTACCGTTATTTCTGACACGAGTATCGATTTATTGACTCTTAACATGTTATTTACGAACCCTTTGGTTTCCACTAATATTAATAGCAGATATGAGTTGCAAAACCTTTTAGAACACGTATCGAACCGCATCGATATTCCATTAAACGTACTATTACACGAAGCTGATCGGGGGGAAATGTAATTTTATAATAAGGACACGTTGCTTTGGCGAAATAGCGTGGCTACGTTATCGCTCAAGTTTGCAAATTGGCCGGACGTGTAGGAGAACGTTTCACGTTTTACGCTAAGGCAAATACTACATGTACATACGTGTTCAACGCGTGAGAGCGTATTATCAGTTACGAGAAAAAATTAAGAAGCAGAGGACAGATCTTATTTTATTTATCGGTAAAATCGATATCGATTGCAAAGAAGTGATTGCGATGTATCTATTAATAAGAATTTAATATTGAGAAAGAATTTAATATTCTATAATATTAGTCGCGCATTTATTAATTACTTTCGGATACCAACTGCAACTCTTATACTCCAAAGTCAACGTTTTCATTCAACTTTTATCCCCCGTTCAAGTTTTCAACAGTCAACTTTTCAACAGCAGCGTGTCTAGCGTCAATTTCGCAACTTTCTGCATCGAGGTTCTTAATGTTTCCACTCGGTTGCGAGGTTTACGATCTATTTGCTGCCTCCTCTCGACAATAACGAGCTTTCAAACGCATTCAGGAAGTGTGTTCAAACGCGCGAGACTTGGTCGAACGACGAGCAAGCGCGAACTTTTTGCTCCGCTCGTTATAAAATGATTACTCAAAGAGACAAGTACAACGTGATTGGTATTAGCGTTATTACACACTGTGACGTAATACGCAACTCTCTCGTACAAACGAATTGTTCCCCGTTTCCCTGATCGTTTTTCAACCCAAACGTGTTTCTCCGCGTCGCTAAACAAATCTGCCCTCCTCTCATTTCTCCTTTTTCTTTTTCTTTCTCTGAAATCCATTCTAAAGGCGGCCTAACGTACACCTTCGTCAACGTAAACTGCCAACATGTCGAGAGATCGTTGAATCTATTATTAGTGTAATAATTACACGCAATTCTCGTGAAAAAGGAGAAAGAAGAAGAAGAAAAAAAAAGAAAGAAAGAAGCGAAGTCTTCCCTTTCGGTGCCTCGCGCTGTGACGTGAATTCGAGTTATTTTTAAGTGGTCATCTCTTAATGCGAAGAACATTATCGCCTCGAAAACTCTAACGCGCCTGACGTAGACACGCGTGCGTGGCGGCACGAGCGAAAGCTCCTTGAAGATGAAATCCCATGGGCGTTTTTAAATAAACGTTGCCACAGCACGGTTCGATCCCGTTCGCTGGCCATCCCGTGGAACAGGTAAAGCGGCATAACGAGGTGTAACGCGTACACGAGAGGCTCCCGATGGCGTATATATACGCTATGTATTTCCGGTTTGCTAAAAATATAGCCAGCCTTGAAGACACGGCTTCTGTTATTCCACGGTTCTTTTTTTTTTCCTCCATTTTCTTTTTTTCTCCAAGTTTCTTCCTCTCTTCATAAATTTCTCCTTTACCGTGAACGCGAGGTGAACGACTATTAATAAGTTGAACGACATTGCCCCGAAATTCTCGAAAACCGATCCGGCATTTCGTTCTCCGAGAGAGAGATCGGCCGAGATGAGAAATAAATTTTTCGAACCGAGAGCCTCTCTCTCTCTTCCTCTCGGTTCGAAAATAACGAAAATTCATCCCGGCGAACGCTCGCCTTCGGTTCGCCGCCATTTTAATTCCGTCTATTTAAAGAAAAATCTATAAGTTAAAATACGCTATCTAATTACTAGGCTGCGGACGTTTGCGCACTTGTGGGAAATTCAAAGGTGCAAGAAACGCGCGCAACGTCCGACCTGATCAAATATAACCGAAGAAACACGTAACGACATTCAGCGGACGAGACGATTTTCTGTTCCCTGTCTTTGAAATGCTTCTGTATTTTTTTTATTTTTATTTCTTCATGCTGAATCTTTTGGCTTTTATTAGTAACACACAGACAGCAACTTGAAACGTATAATTGTATAAGTCTTTTATTAAGTTTGTACAAGTAACGAAAAAAAATCTTTGGCATACTATAGAGAAATGAAGAAAATAATTTAAATACTTTTTTAACGATCAGTTCTGAACATACACTTAACTTTCTTCACCACATAAAGCTCGATAGTCGACCAACCTTATTCTTCTCCATACACACACACACACATACGCGCTCATGCCAACCTCTCAATATATAAAGTACACTTAAGTATACCTAAAGTTTATATGTTATTTAAGTTATATATAATATAACCTAAAGTTTATATATTACTTTGTATATTATAATATAACTTATATATTATAAACTATATATTATAATATAACCTAAAGTTTATATATTACTTTATATATTATAATATAACTTAAAGTTTATATATTACTTTATATATTACTTAGGTTACATATAACAAAAGTAATATATAACCTAAGTAATATACAAAGTGTAGAAATGAATTACCATGTTATCCAACATTTTTTAAATCACCTGATTATTCTATTCGATTGGAACTTACGAAATTGTAAAACTCGATTCAATAATTACCAATCAAGTGAATTATTCTTCAGGCATAAATATTCTGAATCCAAGCGATTCGATCAATAGTAAATCATACAGAATCAATGCCAAAGTCTATGCGATCGATTAATCACCGGTGTTTTCTCACTGAAACGAGGAAAGCCAGATCGCGCCGCGTTTCTAAACAACGACCCCGAGGATCTATCGAGATCCGTGGAATCGTCGATCGATCGCGCCTGAAAATCCCGCGAAAGCTAAAATTAAGATATCGGAGTCAAAGTATGCCGATCATCGCGTATCGACCGTTTCTCTCGAGGAATCTTAACACGCTCGTGACCGGTAATTCTATCGATATCTTCAAAATTACGAAATTACCAGGTTCTTCTAATTCGACTCTCCTAATTGTTGTAATTTCGTCGAATTTCCTTTGTTGTAATTTTAGTCGACATTCGAGCACGTTCGAACATTCTATCCTTATCTAGCGTAATTCGATCAAAAGAGTTGGAACGTCGATCGAAACAGTCTTTGAGGGAAATCAAACTTTCTCGGATACGTTCCACTTGAAGATAAAAAACTGATGTATTTTTGCAATCAGCTAACAAACACGACACAGCATTTGTTTATGTGATTTGTATATCGAGTTTGAGCATTTCAAATTTTAAACGAATTTCTAACTTTCCCCTACCGTTTGAAAAAAATCTGACGTTTGCCAGTTGCAACGTGGACTCTTCGATTCTTTGTTTCCTCTGTCGGGATTGAGCTCGAACGTTCCAAGCGAAACAGAATTTCTGAAAGCGATCGTCGAGAAAGACGTTAATCGTTAAAACGAATTAAATTGTTGTTAAATCGGTTTCAGTTCAGTTCTGTTCAGGAATATAATACGAAAATCGTGTTACGCGACGAACTAGTTTTCGGTCTTCTTTTTTTTTTTCCGTGGAACGAAGCCACGTTTGATGTCCCGACGTGTATTCTAGGAAGCAAGAAAGCTCGATGGCGTTGGCGTTGCAACGTATCGAAGAGAAACACGTCGATATGCTTGCGCGTGTTCCAGATATTCCGGATCGACGGTTCCCCTAATCGCACAGCACAGTCCGCGCTGTGTCCAGTTTAAAAGCGGGCGTTCCTCATTGATTCCTGATCCCAACTTGGATCACACGTTCACTGGCTCTGTCTCTAATTGCCGCGGTAAAATCGACCACATTGCTCTCCGCTCTCTGCTCCACGATTTGCTTCACTTTGTTGTACTCATTCTCTTTGTTGATACGTTAAAATGCCTCGCGTTTGTACACGTTCCTCAGGATGAATGATGACTGTGAGTGTAAAGTGTTCGGTGCTTCGAGAATGCTCGTACAGCTTTTTGACACGTTCATTCCCGATCGAAACTTTCTTCACTTACATAAACCGCCTAAGCGAATAATTTTCTTTTCGCTTCTAAATAAATTTCAGTTCGTTTCAAAATCGTACACGCTGTTATGAAAATGTCGAGATTCAATTTGTCGATACGGTGAGATATTTTGTGATGCTCGATTGATCATTATCCCAAGCGAGTTTGATCGTTCATTCGTGTTTGAACTGAAGATGAATTAATGGAATTGCAACAGAGAGGGACAGAGATGTTTGATATTATCAAACTACCTTAATTCACAATGTTCTTAACTAACCTCCGAGAAACAAACAACCTGTATACGTTCCTGTAAAATCCCCCTAAATTCAACCTGAATTCTACTCGGAGCATTTACAAACTGCTACAGTCCATTTCATATCGTGCCTTCGTACGACGAAAATATAAAAACCGTGGACGCAGCAGACTCCCCAGGACTCGTGAATCGAGTTCGATTAAACGATACAAAGTGTCCGCGGATGCTTACCCTTTACGGGCCTGAACGAGCTCTTTCTCTCGTGCACGTCCCCGCGCCCCTCTCGGCTAACCCTCTCGTCTATTCCTTCCTCCTGCTCTCTCTCTCTCTCTCTCTCTCTCTCTCTCTCTCTCTCTCTCCAGAGTCTATCAGCTATCCCACACCATCCCCCACGATCAATGCTTATGAAAAGGCTCGATGCGCGCGCCCTCGCCTCGCTTCGTTCCAGCTCGATCGTCCCTCTCGGCCGACCGAGAGTTCTCCGCGGCAATTTTCATCGATCATCCCCCGAAAAAACAGAAAGAAAGTTGACTCCTGGCTCGATTGCTCGAACTCGTTGAATTCGAAGCGATTCGAGTATGCGGGATAAAGGATCGAGGAGATCTAGGCTAGGTCTAGGTTGTGGAGAATACGTGTACGCTTCTTCGCTCGGCCCCGTGCTGCAAGGGGTAAACAGGAGTGTGCGCAAATCGCGACGGGGTGGGAAATGTGGCGCCTCGTTATCGGACTACCAAAGATGGTGGGTTGCGCCAGCGGAGAATGTCTACGTGCACGAGGAAGCAATTATGGATTCTCTTACAGGGAATTCTCACGCGGAGGTGGATGCTCGGACGAGGGGGTGATCATTCGGGACAATTCGCAGGGGGGACGGAGGAGGAGGAGGGGCAGGGTTGAGATCGGTTGCATGGCTCCAACCCGTCGCGGATCTGGATGCTCGATAGTTATCAGAGGAGCTGAATGTCACTAGGAAACTAGGCCACGGGTTGAACATTTCCCAAGATCACGGAGTTGACGGTATTTCGATCGAACTCGATATTTTCGCCTAATCACGGTCATCGTCGGGGATGATCTCTCGTGTTTCGTGTGGAAAGAAGGAGAGATGTTACGCGCTTGCAACGTTGAAACAACGTTGCAGCGAGGACTGATTTAAAATAAATGTAACTTTTTGGTTGAATCTCTTGGAGATCTTGGAAGTTTGATTAAAGATCGGAAGATCGATCAAACAAGGAGAGAACGAGAAAATGTTCGATTCGAAAAAAGGTGCTTCTCTGCACAAACGTGCCACCCTCTGTACACACGCTGAATGGGCACTTGCCATTCATCATTCTTGGAGGTCAGCCAGCTTCAACTTTGCACGCCGACCAAGGTTTCGGAGCCCGTGAAAAGGCGGGACGAGCGTACTCTGCGGCGGCAACACGACGCGTATTCGATCTCTCGTTACCGAACGTGCTCGATATCGATCGGTCATTCTGCCTTGAAAAAAAAAGAAGAAGAAAAAAAAAACGTGCCCCGCATTCTCGCGTACCGAGACTCGCAAACTTAATTTTGAAAATGAAACCTATCCCTACAGTCCGACAGTATCCTCTTTAAACTTCCCCAAAAAATCACTACTTCCCGTTTGACCTACTGCTCGAGACCTCGAGCTCGAGAGCTCGACGCACAAGATTCAAGCACTTGTAAGATGCTCGATTCGAAATTCGTAGATCGATGCGCGAGTCTAAGCCAATTCGGGCGAACCGAGAACAACAGTAGACCCGTTTGAAAGATGATTTCTCTCTCTCTCTCTCTCTCTCTCTCTCTCTCTCTCGTTTAATTCTACAGAATTTCGCCTGTATTATCCGCGTATTACGTACGAGAGGAAAGATAAAGGAGCGATAAACAAGGACGAGGGAGAGCGAGGGATGGGTCTCGAGCTCACCTTCGCAGATGTACCCCTGCTGTATGAGGCCCCACAGCATGTCGGTGCAGCTATGGCAGTACGTCGGCTTGTGAAACGTCTTCTTGCTGAAGCTGTGCCCGTGGCTGGCTGGAGTCTCAGCCGAGACCGACGCCATGTTCCCCGTTCCGCCGCGGCACCGCTCACGCCAGATTTTCACCGTGAAGCTACACAGGGCGCGCCGCGCGTCGATGACAACATAATTACACGGCAGCCACTATGTGATCTCGAAACCGTACGCGTACATAATTGCGTTGCTGCAGCTGCACCCGCTGCTGGCTGCTCGGGTCCCTCGTGACGTACCGTCGTCCTCGTCGTCGCGTAACGTGCCTAACGCGCATTATTCTCCAAGCTGCGCCCCCAGGACCGACCGACTGACCGGCACGGCACCGTACGCGACACCGAGATTGCGTTTGATTGTACACCGACAGTCAGCAGTCACCACTGTTTCGCGGCTGACCATCACCGTCATCGGTCGCTGCTACTGCTACCGCCTCCGCCTCCGCCGGGAGCTTCACTCGCGGTACGACGACGATGCGGGTGTCGCGTTCGCGCATCCGAGCCACCGAGCGGGCGCCGAGTGGTCGCACTGACATCAGCCCCTTCGTCACCACCGCCGTCCAGTGACGGAATCATGCACAGGCCAGCTGGGGCCCTCCGTCGGGGAGCCCCCTTTTATCGGGGTACCCTTTTTTCCCGTTTTTCCTTTTTTCGTTCCTCCTACTTCACTTTATGTTTCTTTTTTTTTTTATTTTTTTTTTTCTTTTCTTTTCTTATCAACAGATTTTTATCCTCTTCTCGATAAACCACACACCACCGTCCTTCCTTTCCTCTTCTTCCTTCCTTTTCTTCCAAGATTTTTCGACGCGACCAAGTATCTCGTCTCACATCAAGTCAACACAAACGACCCCTTCTCGTGAACGACGATGCGATCCTCAACGTCCTAACTGGCTTCATGACGAGTCCCCACGAGTACGAGTCGGCAAAATTCGAGTCACATTTTCGACGATGCTCGGCGCGACCTATCGGGAGAAGACTAGGGCACTGGGTAACGATGGTCCGGCGTTATCGGGTCCGTAAGCAACGTCGGGATGGCGCCGCTCCACCCCACTTGTACCTTCTTCCCGATAGACACGGAGCCCGGAGGAGCAGCTACGCTTCCTCCGTTTCCGTTCTCGTCGTCCAACACGCCATTGGCCGAGATATCGACTCTCTCGACGATGCACGCGAACAAAAGCAGAACCGAGGAACGGCTTCGATCGGGCCGTGGCAGCGGAACAACGGTCGGTTAGAACGTACCACAGACAGTTAACAGGCAGCCAGTTAGCACGGGTTTTCGAGGCCGCCTCGACTCGCCTCGACGACGTCAAACCGACGTTCAGCCGTCGACGCTGCTCTGCTCGCGCGCCGACGCGGCTCTGCAGCCTTCCTCTCGCGCAACGCGATTACGTTTCATGCGTGCATCGGCCATTCCGTCCTACGAATCGCTCCAGGCACGCAGCTCCTCTTCTTCCGTTTTGTTTTTCTTCCTCGTACTGCTCTCGCGGCCTCTCTGCAAATGTTCGTAAGAAACTTTAGGGAGGAGGGACGGATAAGCTGGAGAGTCTACGGATGGATGGATGGTAATTTCTTTTAGGAACCTTGTTCATTTCTTTTTTCTTTTTTTTGCATCAACGTTGACTCGTAAAAGGAGATTCGGGTGATCTTCTGTTCTCTGTAGCAGGACTTTCTTCAGCTAGAGTTTTCAATTCTGATGAGAGTATACACGATTAATGCTGTGATTTGGACTTTTCGCCGAGAAGGTAACAGAATGGCAATTGATGGGAATAGAATAATTTCTGAAATGTGAATAGATAAATGTATCCGAGTAAGTTTCAAGCTTGACTCTGACTGTTACGTTTCATCCTGTATGGAAAATAGTCTACAATTTTTTATTAAAAATAAAAATGACTACTGTAATTGTAAAGTGACCTTTGCTGTTCTGAACTTTAGAGATTGCACGATTAATTATCGATTCGTATAAAAATCTGTCGAGTTAGCAAAACACGAAGCAGAAATCAATATGATTGGCAAAAGTAAATGTATATATACCTCGTAGCATGTTTCACTGATTTTGTCCCAATATTGATTTGATTGGACGTAGATGTGCGTATGTATAGTCGAAATTCGTAGAACCCAAAAGGGGATAATCCTATACAAGGTCCAAAATAAGTACCAATTGGCAGAATAAATCGAGATAATATTTCAATTTGAAAATTAATCGAGTTAACATTTAATTAATACCTTGCGTGAACAAATTTCGCTGCGAATATTTTCGACGGCCTCAAATTTCTTTAGAGAAAGTCTTTCTGTATCCTCTTTGAAAACTTCGATTCGAATAATTTTTTTCAGCCTCCGGTTCGTGCCAAAGAACGAACGTAAAGTTTTAAAAGATGAAAGTGTCGAAAAATTCTTCCGAGTCTTCTTTGAAATATTCTTCAAAAATTTTTTGAAACTTTAAAGACTTCAAATCTGTTAAGCAGCAATCACTGTATTCGTGGCAATTGATAACGTGTACCAAAATTTTTGATTTCATACCACTTACTAAGGATATTTCAAAATAGAGGAGACACACGCGATACACAGGTATTCTCCGTTTCTTGTCAACTCGTTTACGATTAAAATTAACGTTTTCTATCCCGCATCTTCTGAATAATGCAACATTGTTATTTGCGACATTATTGTCACCTATCATCGACTCGCTGTTGCGTGAATCCTTGAAATACGTGGCCGACAATGCACACCGCGAACATCGATGATGAAAATCTCGACAGCCGCGGCGTGTATGGGATTTTTCAATGCCGGAACTGGCTGAGGAAACGCATTCGCTTGTTCACGTTGTGCTCGTTCCCTTCATACACGGCGGCTTCGCACAGCGCGTTCATGCAGCAACTTTAGTTTAGAAAATTAAATAAACAGGACAGTCGAATCCAGATTAATCATCCGCACACGTGGGATGGATATTATGCTGTTAAACAGAAACTTCGAAAAATGTTATTACAGAGACGAGAGACTTCTTTTTCATAAAGTAGATTGATAAAATTCGTTTCATAGAAATGCAATTCTCTCTCGAACGATGGAATTGTCGAAACGATTTTATAAATCAATAAAACAATATTAATAATTTCGAAGAATACTTACAAATGTCCTGGGGATTTATATTATTTCATATGGTTAGGAGAAGCTATCGGGATGGAAAGTGAATATTTTTACATCACATACTTTATTATTATGGACGGAGCACAAAGCATCGTCTTTATACTTATCGTAAATACATATGTTCATACAGTTTAACATTGTTCTGAGAATTTTGCTTAATGGTATTTTAATCCTGTGGTGTACCACGAATTCTAATAATTCTGCACTTAATCCCTAATTTTGATTTCTCGTTATACGAAATACAACTGTTATTACTATCGAAGAGAAGTTTCTCTGCTGCTGCGCTGCGTACGTGTAACCACATTAAATCGACAAAGAATTTCACGAACATTGTTTTATAATAATACATATACGTATATAATAAAAATACTCATAACGATGTGGATGACAATGCAATCATATCGATTTACACGCGCCATCGTTTATTAAATACTTAAAAACACAAAAAATAGTCGAAGTACTTTACCTAAACATAGCCATTTCTCTCGTGTTACTTAACAACTATGCTACATTCTGTTTGGTGGAATTATATGCACGTAATGTAAAATAAAATAAACATGGAAATGAAATTTCTAGGCAATATGTCCATTCGTCTGAGATTAATATTATTATTCCCACGCGAGGGAAATCAATAGAACCCGTCTAGAGAATATATTTTCCGTCTTAAAATTAATTCTATTTCTCAGCCAAATCGAAATCAATATTTTCATCGCGTTTTTTTCATCTATTTCTCTTCCGCACAATCAATAAACATCATATACCCATATTGCCCAGCTACGTTAAATGAAACCGAACGTTCTCATAAATCTTTCATTCCTCAAATCTGACAATTAACATTCAAGTAAAAAAAAAAAACTTAATCAATGTCAAGAAAAAATATCATTCATTTTCTGACAAAAAATGCTAGAAATTCGCAAAACGTGGACAGAAAAGAAGAGAAGATTGAAATAAACCAGTTTAAAAACGATGTGATTCATAGACATGTGCACCGCAATACGTTTCGACTTATCTATGTCTAATTGTAAGATAAACTATAGAAAACAGATAAATTGCAAGTATATAGTTTTTAGATATGTGCTCTCTCTCTCTCTCTCTCTCTCTCTTCTTTATTAGCTTACATCAATACCATAAACGAACAATTCAACAAACAGTGCTTAAACTTATTGTCTTTATGCAAATTCTCAAAGTGCTCGTGATCGTTTTTTCAACTGGTGGACATTTTCAAAATTGATAAACTATGATTTCTAGTAACAATAAAAACTTGCGTGTCTCGGGATTTTCGCTTCCGTTTAAACGTCTTTCTCGCTCTTTCATTTGAAACGTACAGTAACGAACAAAGATATTCACACAGGCTAGGCTTTTTTCTTTTTTTGTAAAATCCTGTATAAGTTCGTAAAATTTACGCTCGGTCTCCTTTTTTTCTTTAAAGTAATTTTCAAATCTAAAATATTTTAATTACTGCAAAATCGAAAGAAGAGTCGAGTCTAAAGCTATGTCTTCTCTCGTCCTTAATGGATGAAAACACACAAATCGATATCAGAGAGATCTCTCCAACTCCTGTACTTTTTGCAATTCTGTTAATTAAAATATAGCTTTGTGTAACTGTTAAAAATGTCTTATGTTTTAAAAACGTTAGGACAAAGAATCGTTTTTTTCAAATTAGGACAAAGAATTTTTTTTCAAACATTTTAAAAAAATAAGCTAGTCTGTGTCGACACTTTTATTCGTCATGGTGTACCATGCCAGAACGAGAATCAGCGATAAAACTACGCGTAAAACCATTTCGTTAACACGATAGTGATGATTAAACAGGAACATGAATACTTTTCTATCGTCAAATGCACCGAAAAATATTACAAGATGACACTTCGCTGAAATAGATATCTTTGTCAGTCAACTAGTCTGCAGGATGACTGATTTTAATTTACAGGTTTGTCTGAAAAAGTACGCAGAGCTGAATTCGGTGAATTTTTAAAGATTATTTTCTTTCATTTCTTTTCGTAATGTAAAAAAAGTTTATAGAAGAAATTTATCATAAATATACAGTGGCGTAATTTTAATAGAGACAAATTAAATGAGATGAAATTCAACGATCGATGAATGAAAAGTATACAATTCTGTTTGAATAATCTCTGACTGAGTAAATAATTAATAAAACGCGTTTCATTTCCAAATTTTGAAATGATATTGGATTCGTAATAATGTACACACCTTTCTATCTTTTTCAAATGCTTAGTCCAGAGAGAGATGACAATTTTCCTTCAGAAAATTTTTATTTCAGTTTTACTTAACAAATTTGTGCCATAAGATTAACGCGTGAAATTTTACTTTATACGATATACAATCCTAAAAATCCATTTTATCCCTATCAACATGGCGCACTTTTTGCAATAATTTCATTTAAACATTAAAATAAGTCATCCTGTACAAAGCAAATGATAAATTTGCGCAATCGTTTGGAAAAATTGTATTTCTCCGTTTTTTCGCTTATAGTTAATCAATTCAACAAAATTTTAGGAAGTTTTATAGCATATCCAAGTTAAATTCGTAAAATTTGAAAAAAATGATCATTTTGTAATCATGGAATTTTTTTTTCTATAGCTTTTACAATCATTGGCAGAAATTTCGAAACTGTCCTTATATCTATTTTCTTTAATTTCAATTTACAGTTTCTTCAAGTTATTCTCTAAACTTTTATAAATATTCTTTTGAATTTATTAAAAATTCCTATCCAAGCAATAGAAGTAACGAAGTGAAGGAACAGTCTCTTCGTTAGATTTATTCTGCAGGTAAAACTTTAGATGTAAGTACTAACTAAATACTTGTAATGTTCTTCATGTATAATTTTCAGTAAATAAATAAAAAATGTGAACAGCTGAAACTTTTACCGTTGCCGTTAACTTAAATAACAAACGAATATATATAATTAATCTGGATATACTGTGTAATTCTTATACAATTATAAGTAGCAAAATCGAATATTCAACGATTAATTATAACAAGCAAAATTTCTTCATTTAGCGATAACGATTAATGAAAAATTGACAACATGCGTATGTAATTATCTCGTCATATTTTAACGATAACAGAATTTCTATTGATTTTCTTCTATCTATATTCAATGTGTTCAAATTCTGCGTGACTTTTATTTAAGAGAAAAATAATTATTTTTAAATATATAACTATAAATTTTTTAGAAGAAGTTTTTTTTCTTTTAAAAGCAATGCACTTTTGATGTAATGAAATATTTTCTGAAATATCAGATATTTGAAATATTCATATAAAATGACTTCTGATGATATTCTCATTATATACTTTTTTTATGAAAATCTTTAACTTTAACTTTTTTACTTGAACGATGGAGTTGCTGTTGAGCGGTATGCTTAAAAATAATAGTCAAACATATTGACTATTATTTATGCGACAAACATAACAATGTCACTATCAGTTAAAGACTGATAAAGCACGACATTTTTAAATGCTTATATGTACCTCAATTCAAAAAAATAAATGCAAAGAATTTTTATAAGCACCTCGCGAACGATATATTAATACATGTATAACGACAATATTATTGAATATTCACTAATTATTTAACCCTTTATGTGTTGATTATAAGAAGAAATTATTTATGTAACAAGTTCTGTTTATAAGTCAAATATAATTTGGATTAAATTATGTTTTCCCCGTTAATTATAAATGAAACTGGTCCTAAACGAAAAAAATTCGTATATACGAATAGTATATACGAAAAAATGGTATATATTTTTACTGAAATATTAATCAAAATAAAAAAATATAAAATATTAATCTCATGTATTAAAAAATAAATTTTTAATTCCCTTTATATGGAATATTAAAAATAAAAGAAAAAAATATATACCCTTCACAAAAAAAAAAAAAAAACATAAAGAGTTAAATAATATGTCAATCAGGAAAAACAAGTACATACATATATCTGTATAATAAGTAGTATAGTACTGCTAGTATTTTAATAAAGAGAAACAATTTGTCTGGTTTTCAACATGTATAGAATACTGACTACATTTCACTGAATTTTCAAACAGTAATTACGTTTTCGGTATAATTATGCTTTAGTTTACAACAAAAAGCTTAATTTCAATTTATTAATAACCCCACAGTACTCTTAAATCTAATTGATAAACAATTTCATTGTAAATAAAATTCTGGAATGTTGAAGCAGTGTTGTAAGAATACACCACTTACATTAAGCTGGATATATTGTTTAGAAAGTATTATCCCAGACCATGGTCCTCAAAGAAACCTTGTGGTGTCTCCTCCTGAAACATATGAATAGTATTATTAAATTAAAGATTCATATAAAAAGCATATCTAAAGATATGAAGAGGGATCAATTTCTTTGATGCTGCACATTATCATATAATGCAAATATACAGTAATGAAAATATATAAACAAACACGTACCTAGTTTGTAATTAAGTAATCTCCTTGATGCAGCTTCAAATGGTGAACTGAACCCTTTTCATATAACTGAGTATATACTTGTATGGATACACAAAGCTGCACAAAGCACATGTTCATTTATTGCTTCGTTTAAAATGCTTAAGTACCAATCAAAGAAATGTCTGCATTGCATGCTGCATACAGAATGTTTGTATTTATAGTCAAGTGTATATATTGTAAGTTTGATAAAGTTTAACAAAAGACCTTTTTAACAAAGAGTGAATAAATAAAAATTCTAATGATATTTTTATTTTATACACGAATAATGAAAGATATATACTATTAAAACCTGTAAGGGTAAATACATAATGGGTTAACAATAAATACATAATGGGTTAATTACATGGAAAAGGTAGTATATAATTTTGTATACAATTGTGTAAAAATTGCTTTGTATACATTTATTATGGGTATTATTATATACTGTGTTAAAGTTATTATAATATTAAAAATTGACACTTGTTTATGTATATACACATGTACACATATAAAAGTGATACTTTCAAACATTCATCTCTAATTAAATACTAAAATAAATATTTTCAAGTAGATAAATATAATATACTATACATTTTAGAGAAAAACTTCTTATGCAGTTAAAAAATTATGTAAACATTATACCTAAACATTTCTTTCTTTTGTGTTTACACATACAGAAATAATGGTTTTCTAAATGTGCATAATTTTATTGCCATAGTACGAGACTTACTATATTAACTCCTATTATCTGCTCAATGATAAAATGAAGCAATCTCGTAATTAGTAAGAATTTCTATAATGTGTATATATATGATATATGTATATCTCTATCATGTATATATAATACACATAAACTACATGAATGTACTATTAAATCTATCTGTGTTATACTACTCGCCTATAAAAAAATATACTAATGTTCAAATACTAAATTTGTAAGGGTTGTAAATGGTACGCAAAAAATTGATGCTCAATAACTATAGAAAAAGTAGAGATGTATGATGACATCATGCAGCGGATGAGTCTGCTCCGGATCTTGATTCACGTGGGCTGACAGATTGGCCATGGAGGGCATGCAAGAACGCAGCACCTACAAAAGCCCTATCTCCCGCAGGGCACCTTCCACAGCTTCATCCTTCCACAAACAAACAAATATTCTAACTAATCTTTAGTGTATTTCTAGATATGTCCTTAGTAATGGAACAATAATCTTGAGCTGAATCTTATTAATAAAATTTATGTTACAAAAATATATTATAATAAGAATAATATGACATAAAATTAAATTTATTTTATATATTATATATTATAAAAAGCGATATATATTATAAAATTTTCTGAAAACAAAAAGACGAATTAAAACTTTATTATCTGGTTTTGTTTAATACTTAAATGAAATGAAATCGATAAAATTAATAATACAATGTTGATTTATTATGGTTTACTGCAATTTTTATATTAAATGTCTTTTGTTTTTTTATTCAATTCAGTATTGAAAATGTCTTTTTATAGTATAATGAAAATATAAAATTTTTCTCATTAAGTACAAGTTTATTAAAGTTACTGATTTTTTATTACTATATTTGATGGTATTAATGCAGAAATTCTAATTAAAAATTTAAACACAATCTTCCAATCCGAAAAGTTTCATAATACAATTGAGCTAATAAATAAAAAATTTGATAATATTACCATAAAAATTTCTGCTAATAAATCACAAAATATAATATTTATTTTGTGTAATAATCAGAGTGGTATTCCAAATTAAATACATATTATAACAATATACAAACATAACATAACATATCCTTTATATGTGTAGAAATAGTTACGACACATTGTAAACTGTAGTTAAAGAATCTATCACTAACATTAAACTGTTTGATATTTGAACAAAATATAATTAAGAAAAATTACCTTATATATATCTACGAATGAATAAATCCATTAATTTTTTGTTGTTCTTACAGTATAATAACTTATTAACTTATTAAAATAAGATAAATAAATATTACAAATCTATAAAACGAAACTCTAAAGAAATAATAAACATACAAGCATACTTTCGCATTGTAGGAACTTATCATGAATACCATTTAAGGTATCATATCTATCACAATCAATATCATTACAACATAAAATTGAACATAATTGACCATAATTAATATTTATTACAATTTAGAAATACATACATTTCAATAATTACTTATGGACAACAGCATTTCTATAGCATCATATCTTTTAAAAACAATTTTTATAAAAAGAAAATGATTAAATTATGCTACTTTTATCAAAATAAAAAAAAAACTTAATATTATTTAATATTTATTTCGTTATCATTATGTTATGTTATTCAATTCATGCATAGAACCAAAATATAAATAATACAATACTAGTACTTATGCAAGTATTTGAAAGATTATTTTAAACAAATAAAATAATATAAGTTAGATATAAAATTAAAAACATTTTTTAATTATTTTTTACAGCTTTTTATAACATTTTAAAATGGAGACATGTAATTTTTATTATAAATTATATTACATTTCTTGCAAAACTTACTGTAGACTAGAAACAATGATTGTAAGGATGGAAATAGTTTGTATAAATATATGAAAGTAATCTTCAAAATTTCATAAAATACAAATTACTGGAGCTATTGGTTTAAAAATGTTAATTTTTTTTTGTTTTGACATTTAACATCTTAATTGGCAGTATCTTAAAAGATATTCTAAAAATTTGACACATTATCTTAATATTAAGATACTTTACAGGATTCCTGTTTAAAAAAAACTTATTGTATATATAAACCAAATTTTAGATGAAGCCATTTATTCACTTATTTAATTTCTGCAAAAAAAAGTTACTATGGAAAATTTTCATTCTAAATTTTTTATGTTTAAAGAAATAATTATATTTCTACATTTATGAAATGTCAAATATGAAATATATAACTAAAATATAAATTAATTTTTCATAAAATATTGCTGATCTATAGGAGCAAGCTAAGTATTTTTCTCTAAATATCTAATAAATTTTTAAAACATCAAAATGAAAAGATAATTTTTATTATAATAATATTATGCCTTATTAATAATACTTTATTTTAATAATACTTTAAGTTAATTATATTATTATATAATTGAAAAATATTTCATAATTAATATAACATTTGCAAAATGACATTCATTCTTATACAAAATACTAACTATTTTTTCTTATGTAGTTCTATTGATTTACTTCAGTATTATAAAGGAACATTTGAACCAGAAACAATATCATATTACTACTAATTTTGTGGAATATGTCACAATAATGAACACAATGTTTGATATTAAAATATGGCAATAATTCTTTATACATTTCATTTTATCACTATAGATATGCTGTTGGATACATTATGAATAAGAATTCATAACATGTGTAAGCCCACTTATATTAAAGAGAGGATAAGCGTATAAGCATACTATGCACATAGCATTAGCTATAAAAAAATAAAAAGTTATAACAGTTTTAAATACAAAATATATCTATATTCATTTATGCGTAATGTTTTACTTAATATTACTGAAAAAAAATGAGCAGACATTTTTTTATGTTTTCCTGATTATTATATATATATAACTACGATTATTTTATGACACATATTGAAAAGATATGAATCACATTTATGATTCATAACAATAAAGAATATTCTTCATGACTGCATATACATATTAATAGAATTTATAATACAGATTTTCAAACCAAACATATAACAATAATTACATACAACATACATTAAATATTAATAAAAACTTTAAGTACTTTGTAATAAACTACATAAAAGAACAGAACTATTTGCAGATTAGAAAAATATATAATATATATAGCACATGAAACATATGGAAATATATCAAATCAAATAAAGAACAACACATGGATATTTGAAATAAAAAGAATTACATTCCATCATGCAATTTAGATATTACACTGTTAATAAACATTAAAATATCATGATAACCCAGTTTTCCAGACAGTAAAATAATGTGGTAATTGCTTTCACGTAAAAGAATATTATATAATATAGTAATAAGACTCATGTTTTTCTAATATATACATTATTGTTTCGAATTTATTAAGTATTATTAAGTATTTAATACTTGTGGTATATTAAGTAATACTTTATTAAATGTTATTGTAAACTACTCTATGAGCATTTAAAAGTAAATGCGAATTGTATATATGTAAGTATTAATATGTAATTATTACTAATTTTTACATTAAAAAAAAGGAACTGTACACATATGTGTAATAATATAATACTAACAATTAAACTTAAATATCACCACATTATTTTACTCAGAATAAACAGGCTACAAACATGCTCCACATTTATATCAGTCAAGAGGTTTTAATATTTTGTATATACCTCTTAATCAATATGAAATTTGATTATTTTCGTAAGAATGTTACACACCAACTATTGATGGTTAAATATATTAGAAGAGTTGTTTTAAATGAATTTCCAAATACCAATATAATAATGGAAATTATAAAAATATAACAAAGCTTGTAAAAATATTATTAACCTTCTTATAAACAAAGGTCAAAAAGATGACAACATATATATATTAAAACAACTCTATAATATTACTAGAAAGTAACAGAGAAAAATTATAATATCGTTAAAAAGGACAAGTCACAACTCAATGGGTACATCCCCATAACTAACCTCCTGTAGTAAATCCTGAGCTGCAATGGCTTTTAAAACATTTTTTTTGCTAGTCTCTTGAATTTCTCCACCAACCAATAATTCGTCTAAGATGAAATATGCTTTCTCAAAGTTGAAAATTATATCTAACTCACAAACCTAGTAACATATTTGAAATAACATTAAAACTTTAATCTTTGTTATTGCATAAAATAAAGTAAAGTAAAAATGTCACTTTATATACAAATTCTCATACTAAAATACAATGCTTCTGTGCTAATAATCTTATAGACTATATTGTTAATAAATATAGAAAAGTACAAAAATGAATTTTGAATAAATTCAAAAATTTAATTTAACTTCATTTTATTATGAATAAATAATATTTTTATTATGAATAAATAATTAAGTTCATACTTACACTTCCGAAGTATTTATCTAACAGTTCAACATAACGATGTATAATTTCCAATGTTAATAATTCATTATCGTTTTGTTCTATTGCACAACAAAAATATAAACTGGCGTATCTATGAAACAACATAATACACTGTAGAATAATTTGTTCGTTCAATTTGTTACGGACAAAATAAAATTTTTATTAACTTTAACAAAAGTTTGTTATGCTTCAATTACATGTAATTGTCATATACCTTTTATAGACAACCTTAACGTCTTTCCATTCTAAGAAACTGGACATTTTTGGCTTTCGTGCTAATATTGTAGTAATTAATTCTCGTGTAATTTTTTTCTTCAATTTATCAGGATGAGCCACATACCATTTTTGTAAACGTAATTTTCCTTGACGACTGAATAGTAACATGAATTGCATCTGAAAGATTCAAGCATTTTTTGTGTAATTTCAATATTATTCAAAATGCCATCAACAAACATTATTCACTTTCGTTAGTATAAAGATAAAAATAGTAACTATTTACCATCTTTAAATATGTTCTTTTCAATAACTACAAATGTATTCACAGCACTTTTCGATAAATCACAATACAAAAAAGTCTATTCTAATTTTGGTATGTATAGTTCATGTACGTTTGATCACAAGTTTTTGATAGATGGCGCTTATGTTAACAAAGGAAATACGTCATATGCAATTTGAATTTATTAAGAAAACACATTATATGCAAAACTTTTATTTGGCAATTGACGTATAAATTAAAATCATATCATATAAATAGAGCAAAAAGTAATATGTATACTGTATATGTACTTTTGTACTATATGTTACTTTTGTAATATATGTGTAGTAATATATTATCAATGAAGTAATTAGAATAATTTTAATATTGTAACAATTACACAGTGAATATTAGTTAATAGTATATTTTATTTACACAAGACTTATAATAATACGTTGATTAAATAAATATCTAATGTACAAATTTTTAATATAATTTATTATATTTAATATATACTTTATAAAATATATATTATATTAAAATGCATTATATTTACATTTAAATATCATAATTTCTATGTCGAATACAATTTGAAATTAAGGAGACAAATAAATAATTGAAAAATTAATAAATAAAAGTAATGTAAATTATAAACATAATTACATCGTATAATTTTTTTATTTACCAAACATTACATTATATGAAATCGTATTTATTTCTTCACTAAATTCCATAATCGACTTTTTATATAGCTTATGCGTCTCTCAATTTTATCTTCTAAACCAAATTGTTGGTAAGGTATGATCAATACCTTATAATTTTTACATTTTAGCAAATGACTATACAATTTAATTATTCCTTGATAGTCTGAATTTCCTAGGCACATGTCATAATAATCAACTACTATTATACCTATCCTGAAAATTATACATATCCTATAGCTTATGATTCTTACATCTATTATTACACTGTAATCTCAATTTTTTCAGACTTACTTAATAAAATCTTCATTTTTACCACTGTTTTCACTGTTTACATTAACAAAATTAAATTTGTTATCCATACGTATTTCAGCATCTATAATGATATTTAGGTATAATATAGTATGCTACTAGGTATATATTACTATAATATTACTAAGTATAGTATAATATATTACTTTTTAACGAAAATACATTATGAACAATATTTTTAGATACCTAAGAGAAATCCCATGTTGGTATTTACATTCATGTTGAAACAAGATGTAGATGGCAACATGTTTTTTAGTGTAACTTCAAGTGCATTAATGTATGCCATCTTTTGTTTGGAACGTTTGGGTACATCATTGGATATTGTTTCATTATTAAGTAAAGGTCCTAAATGTATTTATTAAAATATATATAAATTATTTTATATCTTCTCAAATGCTAGATATACCTTATATCTTACCAGAATAATCTGCGAGTGCATATTGTACATATCCATTGATATTCAATAATTTTAACTTATAGGATAATTTTTTGCTTTCATCTAGAATATGAAATATTAACTTATCATCAATATAAAATAAATGCTTCATTCTAGTCATGAATACTAACCCAAAAGATTTATTTTTGACACAAAATTTTCATTTAATACATATTCAGCATGTATGTTTTCCATTATTTTAAATATGGCAAAGGACCATATAAGATTTAATCTGGTCTGCGAGTTAAACTTATCCAATGTATGATATGGAATATATTTCTAAGTATAAGATTATAATTATAAATCCCTTTTGATTGAATTAATTTAATGAATATATTATTAATTTAAATAAACTTAAACTTTCTTATGTAACGTACCTGTATAATTTTATTTACAGATTCAGAACTATAACCTAATGATGCAAATGACTGTAAAATACTTGCAATTTGTTCAATACTATATTTATTTTTGAAATTAATAATTTCATCACATATTTGATTTAAAAATATATTGTTTTTATATCTGACAAATGCCAAAGATTTTACTATAGATACTACTCTTGCTGCCTTTACATCATTTCCATTTTTAAAAAGATCTATACAAATTTTTTTAAGTAATCTCTAAAATAAAACATAATTACACAGAAAACATATTTCTTTCTTTCTTAATTATTAATTTTCATTTCAAAATAAATGTTATTTTCTTACCTCATCAGAGTAACATAAAGTGCTCATACTGTATAACAAATTTGAACTTGCTCCTACAGATAATTTCTCATGATATTCAATAATATTTTGAAAGAAATAATTTAAAAGTTTTACATTTCTCTTGCCCACTTGTGCTAATTTATATACTTCCTATGTCAATACAAATATAAATATACATATATATTTAAAATAAAATTTTAAGAAATTATTTTGTTTCTTTACCACAATCATTGCAGACGTTGAGAGATCACGATATTTATTAGTATCATCATCTTTAGGATCTTCAGATTTTATTTTGTCAACTTCTGTTAACGTTATTTGACTTTGTGCAGAAATTTCATTGCTTTTGATACTTAAATTACTTTTATTATTTGCATTTACCCAAGTTGTAATGGTTTTAAGGGCTTTCACAATATCATTTTCGGACATGTAAGATGTTTTCATAATTTCTAATATTTCATGTAAATTTTGTGTTTCTTTAATTTTGGTATTAATCACTGGTTGTAACTTCAAATCATTACACAACTTTGTTTTTAATTCATTGAATATTGTATGCTGTTTATCATTTATTATAGTATTTGCTGCTATGTTTTTTATCTGATCTTCAACCTTAAAAAATTAATTTTTACTTATTAGTAAAATATAACATTGTTTGAATCTATTATAGATTGAAAAATATCAAATAAGTGTGTAATTTTGAATATTTTTATTCAAAAACATGAAATTTTACCTTTACAGCAATTTTAGATTCAGTGGCTACTGCAGTTGCATTTATAGTTAATGATGCATTTAATCGCCATAAAAATCGAGGAGTAAATCTGGTTACTATTGTATACACTGTTGTATTAAATTGCATTTTGTGATTCTGTAATATTAATTTATATAATTGTGAAAAATATAAACACTAACATAGATTACATATATCATCACATTACCTATTAATTTTATTAAAAATTTTTTATTAGCAAAATGTAATATAATACTTATTTTATTTACAATAAAATAACTTAAAAGAATATTAAAATTATTTTACTATACTTTTTAAATTGTACAAGTTCTCAAATTTCCCATTATAAGGTTAAGTTCTAGTCCACCATAGTTTCAACCATTGATAAAAGAATTTCACTATAGTGCCAAATCTCGTTTGTATGTTCAAGGACAAAAAAAATACAATAAGATAATACACATATTATATAACTTAATATTATTGGTTAATTACATTTTTCTTACCTCCGTATGATTAAAAAGAATTTATTTACAAATTCAGATCTGTTATTTTTAAAGAACACAATAGAGAAGAGTCATATATTTATTTATAAATAAATATCAAGTAAATTAATTTAGAAAATTAATTTTGTATATATTATTTGAGAAGGTGTTATAAGTCATTAAAAATCATTATATTTCTCCCTAACATTATTTGGCAACTAATTTTTTAATATTATTTGATTTAATTATTTATAAAAAGCACGAATTTAATAATTATTTGTAAATTATTAGTAACTGATAATTATTATTAAAAAATTTTTATATAACACTTTTGTAAGATATATTGAGATAATGTAGTATGTATCTCATCTATAATAAAATGTACTGTTTTATCATTGAATTGTATGAAATTCTAACCTATTTCATCTATATAATTTGTTATGTGAAGTCTGTAATTTCGTTATGCAAATTTTGTATACTGTGAATTCAATCCTCTATAGTTCTTTTTCTTTGAATTAAATAATCTGCTGCCTCTTTTTATATTAAATTGCAATACCTGCAAATTTATTAGGATAAGTTTCAATTAGATATTTAGAATTACATTACCATATGTGTTTTTAGTTTATTTTAACATAATTATATCGTCAATGTGAGAATGCATAGCTTTTTCTTTGCTGTGTACTATATGTAATCGTTATTTACTTGTGTTATATTGTATTAGAATAGGTTAGAAAGCATTTAATATATTTGAATTTTTTACTAGCCCATTCGCGCCAATTACTATTAGTACATAATTACGAATACAATATTATATTTTGTATAATATCAATTAAAATTTTATTAAAATTAAAACATTAAGTAATTTAGTGAGACATAATATTAAGTTCTATTTTACTTTTCTACATTTTAACTTATTTTTTCATATATAATTTAAAGACAATGAGAAGTATACAATATAAAAATAAAAAAAGAAGCATATATATGTATTAATATTCGTAATTGTGATAAATTATAAAAATAATGTAAAATATAATACAGAGAAATTAATGATTGTACTTAAATACAATAGATTTTAATATTTTTTTTCAAATTTTTTGAATTTTAAAGACATTTAATTTACTAAATTTACTAAAATAAAATTAAAATAATTTTAGAGCAATTGTGACACTTATAGCACATTAAATATTTTAATATGCATTAAAAATTTTTTATTCGCAAGACAGATTGTAAGAGAGTTTTATTTATAATTAAATTATAAAAGATTCTTTTATTTAATTTAAGAAAAAGTCCTCCCTATTGATGTTAAGTTAATATCACTTATATATTTTTGCAGAAACTAAAAGCACAAGAAACAGTTGTAATAAAAATTATATATAGAAAATATGTCATTTTATTCGCTCTTTTACTAACATATTATAGGTGAAGGTGCGACAGTTGAATGGTACCTATATTGATTCATTCCTAATCGCAAAGGACCGCACCCAACACAAACATTATTATCAATCTTCACATTTGTATTAAAGAACGTAATTGCGCTACCGTATTATCGTAATAATTAGCGAAATAATTTAATAAATTAATTCAGGCAGTACTCTATTTTATTAATTAACCATTACTACGTCCATCACTTGCAATTTTTTGTCTGAGGTTGATGGTGGTATATGTATATAATGTTCGATGACGATGACGTTTGACATTAAACGTGCATTATACAAATTAATATTAGATAGTTTAAGAGTTTTTAAGAAATGCTCACACCTCTGAATGACAAACGATTCTGCTCCACGAATGCCTGAAGAAGACGCCCTTATTTGATTTAAGAGTTCAAACGATTGTGGCTAGACCCGATCGTGTGTCTCAAAACTGATTTCATCAAACGCAAAAAAATTCCAATCAACATGATTGTTAGAGGTCACTCACATTGCAACTATTTTGTTCACTTACACCCTAAGCTCATTTCAATGGGAAGAGAATGAACGATACTTGCGTTGGTGGCCATGACGATCCAAAAATGATTAGGCAAAAATCGTGAAACTTCCTTCAGATGATCCTTAAACAATTATATGACGCTAATTAATCATTTTCATAAAAAGACTCCCCCGGCTATTGAAACATCATGAACATACTGCAAACTTCTAAATCATACAAAATAGCCTCTTATGTTCAAACACAAGTATCACAAACATACCTAGGAAAATTTCTTGTTCTCTGTCTTTTTGGACGGAGCACTCTAAACTCTAGATATTAAAAATATATCTCCCTTCATCGCGATTAACAAAATAGATTATCGGGCAATAATAATAAAGGATGCTACATGCATGATTGTTCCAAACAATCATTATAATTTAATCTATGTTATCACAAGTTACTTATGATGATATAGCGTAATTATTAAGCGAAGTGCTTTATACAACAGGCACGATACATTCATGAAAGGCATTTTAACAAAAATTCTCATTAAATGCTAATTTTACGAAAAGTTTAATTATTTTTATGCATTTTGATGGAGGACTGGATATAGTGTACACACGAAGAATTCGCTCGAAATCTCGAAACGTCAGTGTACGTCACTGGTGATGCAAACGAGCGATACAACAAATGGAAAATCCGTTTTGCACGTGGATATTTGCCGACGAGAGAAGTAGGGGAGACGATTTTCGGCTCGGCGAATTGCGGGGGGTCTTGTCGCTGGCCGATCGTACAAGCGCATGACAATATTTAAAGCGACGCAACTATGGATCGCGCGAACGTTTTCCATCGGCACTATAGAGGGTAACACTCAAGATTCTGCCTGGTTTTTCAACCGACAGTCTTTGCTTCGGTGTTTGAGAAGAAAGAAGATACCCGTATTTCCAGCCGTACTGCATATAATCGCTATGGTTAATCAGATCGCTTCCTTCTCCTATCAAGTGGGTAAGTGTTCTCCAGAATTTATCTGATTTCGTTTCCTAATGAGCGATTTTTATTATTATTATCATTATGTTTTATTGCTATTCTAATAATTCAAGAAGATGTAACAACCGACGTGGTAATTTCTAATCTTATTTTGCTTTTATTTTTTTAATAGTGTTACACCGGCGATTTCTTTCTGATGTATGTAGCACGATTTTTGAGAGAGTGTAAGTGATGTAGTAATTGATGATTTCTTTGTTTTTATTTTTTAATATCGCAAGATATTCAGAGCATCATTTGTCGTACTTGTTAGAACGAAATATATATAATATATTTTCTTCAAGATGGTTTTCGGAAGGATATTTTAATAAGTTATGAATGTGAGATTGATTGAAAAAGGGTGTAATAGATATAGTAATGAATTATGATTCGTTTAATCTTCGGCTTCTTTTCTACATAATCATGGCAGTGTTTATTATTAAAATTATTTTATATAAAAAAAGAAATTATCACATGCGAGGTCGAACACTTACGATTCAAAATAGTTTGAAATAAATAATGTATGAAACGCGTGTGTATTAAAAATAACTTAAAAAAATTAATTTATTTTTCTCATTCTTTTCTTTTAATGTATAATATTGGTTGTAATATTTTAAGCATCAGATTTCGATCAAATCTGAAAAGTCATTTATCGAATCATTTTATCGGAACGGCTCCAATGAACCCGCAATGATAGAAAATATCAAAATCAAAATCTGATGAAAATTTACTTTACAAATTTTATATAATATTTTTACTTCTGCTAATATTTGGTTAAGACAATTTATAGCGTTGTCATAACAGACTATTAAAACAGACTGCTGAATATAAATAATTCATTCCACGTTGATGGAACTAACATAATGAGATTCTAAAATAAAGCGTTAAGTAGGGTTACCGATTGATATAACTGCAGTTAGGAACATACGCATTCCTCAAGCATCTGCTTGTCAGTTTTTTCAAATTAATTTTTATTATCCTTAACAGTCCAACGATGAATCATAAAACCGAATAAATTCTTATAATTCATAACACATCTCTAAGTACATGTTATGGCCACCGAAAATTGTACAATTATTGATTGATTTTACGATACAGTTCATCGTTGACTATTCCAGGAACTATATTTATGCAAATTGCATTTTTATGAATACAAACAATCAAATAAATCATATCTTTCTTAGCATCTATTTTTATAAAAATTATTCTTTCGTTCGATTTTGAGGGTAATTGGGTATTTTTTCAACTCTTTTCATAATTGGACCTAACAGACTTACTTATTTCATGTTAAAATATCCTTTTTCAATGAGGTGGCATTAAAACAGGATCATTTTGACTGACCTGATTTACTTATAACATTTGAAATTGCACGAAACATGTCTCGTGTGAACGATCGAAAATGTTGTGTCTCAGCAAATTTGCACAATTAATGATAAATAAAAAAATGTGCGTGAAAGCATCGTATCTTCCTGCGTTATTATATCTTCTTGTGCATTGTTACTGAACCGCAAAATGATAATTTAAAGTTGAAACAATTCTAATCGTAAAATTGAATTCCAATAAAATATTATATTTTAAATTTATCGTATGGTGTGTGGCTTGGTTACCAACGTCATTGATCAACTATGTTTTCTTACGTCAAGGTTGATAAAAACGGTATTGTTGATAAAAAAGAAAAGACGCACAATTAAATGTCACATTTTGACCATGAAGATGTTATTAAAATTGTGCAATCTTATTAATTATCGCACGTTATACTGTACACTAAGGCTATTTTAAAAGTTCATTATACAACGTGAGGAAACAACTGTTGTCAACAATCCGAAATTAGCAAACCTTCACATATACCTTCGCAAATAAAATTTCACAGTAAATTTTTAATTTATTTTTACATACAAACACATATATGCAGATTGTACTACTCTTTCTTCTGTTACCATTTTTCCTAAGAAATTAAGTTTTCAGATTGCTTTCAATTTGGCATTAATCACAGTTCTCTCCAGAAAGTGACTTTTTTTTACTAACAATTATAAGTTTTAAGACACTTTGTAACATAAATTAATAAATAATAACTCTGTGCACCTATTCAAGACAAATTAATTTGACATTTATTCGTATTTTAAAAAATATTTATGAATATGTTGCTGCATAGTGGAATTATCGAATGAAACGACATCAGGATAATTATTGTCAAAATTACAATAATTACTTCCTCCTATTTTTGTTGACGTAATTTCCATCCAAATTTGCTGTATGTTCGTGTGTTAAAACATACGGACAACCGATCTGCAGACATTTGTCATTCGAACGTGCAACAAGTATATAATAGACGAAATGTTAGAATACAATTGTTTCTTTTCATTAGCATCTTATCTGCATTTATGTCAGCGATCGAATAATTCAATTTTCAAGCTGACTGATTCTAAAAGCGACATGTCACACATAATTAATATCGATTAATTTTTCGAGTCTCAACAAATGAAAATATTGTATAATTCGCACATTTTCTAATTAAATTCAACAAGTTCGATTTGCATAAATGAAAATGCAAAGAGCCTATAATTAGATAATAGGTATTGAATAATTATATTGATAAATTGTCGAATTGATCGTAATATCGACTAGTTAGTGTCACATGTTTAAGTGGCTTGTGTCGCTCTTTAATTACCATTCAATTTTTAACATTTAACATTTTTACGCTTATGAATAATTCATTATTGCGCATTGAAAAGTTTACTTCCAATTGATCTTTGGCATTAATAGAGAAGAAACAAATGCTTTTATTTAAGAAGATATAATCTTCTAAGAATGACATAATTTATAATCTAAGAAAAGACATGCAAAATTCTCAACGCCACAGATGCATAATTATTTATTTCATTTAAAATTTCTTATTAACGAGTTCCTACAGTAATTCTTTCTCGTTCAGAGTTCAAAAATTTCTACGAATTTTTAAGAAACAAGAATCCGCTGTGTTAAATTTGCAAAGTAACATTCCCTGCCTAAAATTCTCATTGAAACATCGGTGCTCGATTTATTAGCAGTACTGCTAATATTTATAATAGAAATTTCGAATCGAAATCCCTCGGGATCTCCTAAGAATAATTGTGGTTTCTCTTAAACCTTTTCGCCACTAGTGGCTTCTCAACGAAATAATGTTGTTTATTAATGAACTTGAGTTTACGATAAAGACACTCGTGCATGTTCTCGGAGACGATTGTGAGCGATCGAAGTCACTGTATCCACGAGATGCGCAACGTAACTTATCATCGTCATCAGCTCGAACAATTAGGGAATCTTCTGGTACGAAGATGTTCACGTAGAGCTTTCGTACGACAAGCAGGAGGCGCAGATGTGTCTTCGACTTGTCGTGGGGTCTCTGAAGAATGGAAAAGCACGAGCGGAGCTTATTGCCAGACGAATGGAAAAGCACGGGCGATCGTGGCACAACGACCAACGCCCAAATTTAACATTCTCAAGATTTAAAGAGATCGTGCATTTTTTTTTTTTTTTCTTTCATCTCATCAACGTCTAGTTAATCATTTTTCTAGTCGCGCAGAGTCGACACTTGTAAATTAAGAAGTTTAGTCAAATGTCGTGATCAACCACTTTGCAGTATGCAAATCAAATATTTAAAGAAATTTAACGATAATAGCGTTCGTTAATTATTTAACGAAAACTGATGTAGTCTCGCTCTAAACAGAGCTGTTGTTCTACCTGATTCTATTTGGCTCGTTTCCCAAGCGCGAGATCTTACAATTATTTTGGACAGTCAGCTAGCAACTCGCTATATTTATTATAGGCGGAACTGCGGCGGAGCATGATTTGATTTGATTCACGTGCTTGTTGTCCAGAAAAATTTGAAAACGTGACTCGTCTACGTCACGACGAAATAATTCTGTCATTATCTCAAATTGTATAAGATTGACTCGTTTTATTTATCTATGTGGAACACGAAAGTCAATAAATCCTAAAGCATCTCTTAAATACCTATCAAATAATTTGATACATTAACTTAACATACACACACGCGCGCACACATACACGTTATCGTATTCAGTCTAATCTAGCGCTATTCTAACTAAAGTTCTGTCGACGACTCTCGTAAAGACAAATTTAATGGACTTCACTTACTGTGCATTTATCATCAATTGCTGGTGTCACTATCTTGATTGTGCTAATAGTAATTAAACACGACCCGGTAGAATGTCAAGAATTCTGTTTGCTGGTGGTCCGCTTTGTGTGCGACAAACACAATACAGACAATTTGACAGATGTGCATACATTTTTTGTCTTCGAATCGAACAGCTTGATTAAAAAATGATGCAACAAATGCATTTTGTTTTCTCGACAATAGGTAGAAAAAGCTGCTAGAAATAAAAGGAATTTATGTCTATCGAGAGCGTTCTGTTTTCTGAAGCCTGCAAGCTTCAGTAAATATCTCAAGTAAATGAAATTTTTAGGCAAAGTGAATGGCAAGATCATATCCTCTTCACGTAGCAGTAAATCATCGGTTTGTGAAAATAACATTTTTGCGAAAATAATGCTCGTCGCGGCGGGAAATGTACCACGTTCTCGATTTATTTTAAAAGATATGTCCGTTGTAACGAATTTATGGATACGTTCTAAATCTAGAACTTTTAGTAAACTCTACATATTTAACGACAAACTTTGTAATGCAAGCATTGTGCAATTGTTTACTGTATCATATGATTATTAGTCACTGAGTTAAGAAAGTTCAAATCAAATAAAAAAAAAAAAGAAGCACAAAAAATACGGAACAATCACTTGAATCTTACTCAAATCACGTTTTTCTTTCTTTTCAGAGAACAACGGAGGCAAGGAGGGCACCGCAGATTTCGAGAAAGCCATCAAGCTATGCGGTGAGAATTATCACTCGTTAAATAACGATACATTGATTGACATTATCAATCTCGGAATTTACGACGAATTCATTTCCTTTTTGCGAGAACATGCAGTGTTGATTTTTCAAATTTTTAGTATGTACATATGTACATATGTACACCTGTATGTACTCGTGGCTGATAACGCGAGTATATAGAGTGATATATAATGTCACCTTGTCAACAATGAGCATTTAACATGATATGCATGTAACGTCACGCCGTCAACAATGTGCATATGATTAATTGATCAATGATTAATTTAATTTACGATTTTTAGGCTATGGAAAGTTCCACTATGGTTTCTTGCTACTCTGCGGTGCAATGTTCATTTGCGTTGGCTTTCAGAACGGGATAAACGCGTACATTTTACCATCCGCCGAATGTGACCTCGGCCTGACATCCGAACAGAAGGGTCTTCTGAACGTCGCCTTCCTCTTAGGTATCGAAACGATTATATATACTTTTACTGCTTCGAGAGTATACACGTTTACAACTTTCAGACTTACCATAGAGTCGCAACTTCCTCCATATCCAACAATTTTCTTCTCACTTTTTTTCAATCGAATATACGAAGATTAGTTGAGGATTTTTCTACTCGGTATATACAGAATGATGCAGCGATGATTCAGAAACTTTAAAGCTTGAAATTGAAATGTTCGATTTAGGTACTTAATTTATTTGCAAATGATTCGTCTCTCTTTAACAAAGAGTTAAATAAAACTGGGAGGCAAAGTAATCACATTTTTTCTCATTTAATATTTTATTCAGTTGCATTCATTCCAAATACAGAAGAAAGATTTAGATTATATTTTAAAAGTATAAAAGATACTGCCTACGACGTCTCAACTACAGACATGTTCGATTTTACACAGTATATACAGAATGATGCAGCAAATATTCAGAAAATTTAAAGCTGTTGAATTTAGGTGCTTAATTTATTTGCAAATGATTCGTTTTTTTTTTTTAACAAAGAGTTAAATAAAACTGGGAGGCAAAGTAATCATTTTGTTTCTCATTTAACATTTTATCCATTTGCGTTTATTCCAAATAAAGAAAAAAGATTCAGATTATATTTTTAAAAGCATAAAAGACACTGACTACGACGTCTCAACTATAGACATGTTCGATAGCACTTATTTCATTAGGAAAGTTGGAGAGCAGTTTTTTATATCACATCCCACTCGTAGCTTCTGCGACTCTAAAGCCGATCTCCTTCTCACAATTGGATATAACATTTGTCGAAGACAGGAATTGCTATAGTTTTAAAGTTCCAACTATTTAGAAAATGCGAAATTTGAATTTTCATGGTAATTAATTATATACTTTCGTGATTTTCTAACAGTCATTCTCAAGTCTTTCTCAAAAGAAAACTAGATGTTTAGTGGTACTTATTTAATATTTAATTCAACACTTATCGCAATGTTTTCATTCATTCAGGAGGAGTTATAAGTTCCCTTTTCTGGGGAGTGCTCGCCGATGCCTACGGAAGGAAACATATTCTTCTCTTCACTCTGTTGAGTGACAGTATTTTATCAATCGGAGGAAGTTTCTCTCAAAGTTTCAAGGTGTTGTTAATTTTCAGAGCGCTCAGTGGATTCTTGTAAGTGTATTACACAAATTCTACGAAAATCCATAAAACGTGATGATACACATGTACTTATAAAACGATGTAACATTATATGTTTTTAATAATATTATTTAATTATCCTTCGATTTTAGCATTGGTGCTCCTGGTTCTCTAATCTACACGTATCTCGGCGAATTTCACGCGGCGAAACAAAAATTAAAAGCTCTTTGCTACATTGGATTCTTCTGGACCGTATCATGGTTAATATTGCCTGGTAAGTTTAACTGTTTCGTTAATTTAACTTCAATACATTCAACTCAATTCATGGTTCATCCCCTTTCAAAAGAGTTCGACGTTTCCTGACTAAGTGTTGCGCATTCTTGTTCGCCAGGTTTGGCTTGGATCATCACACCATTGCCAATATCCCTTCAATTCAACGGCATGTTGTACAATTCTTGGCGACTCTTTTTGGCTGTTATTGGAGTGCCAACGTTGATAGTAACTCTGATCACGTCCAGATATCCCGAGAGTCCGAAATTCTTGGCCTCCCAAGGGAAAACGGACGAGGCGCTGGCGATTTTGCGAAAAATCTACGCAACGAACACCGGTCGCAACGAGGACGAATATCCGGTAAGCATCGACACGAAATTATTATATTTATCATAAGATTATATTTCCTACTAAAAAAGTACAATCAGAAACTGCACCATTAAATTTACCAAAAAGAGAAGAAAAAAAGAAAATTAATTATCTTATTTGATTCAAGACAACATCATGGTATATAAATATACCAAGTATATTTTTACCAAAATTGTTTTTAACTTTCCATCTCGCTATCGAACTGGGAAACGTGACGAGAATACTCGCGGCCGCTAATGACACATCGCGCTTGCCACGTGTGTTTCAGGTAAAAGTCTTGCTATCCGACGACATGATGAATATTAATAACCGTAACAGATCCTTCTCTGCGTCCACAGTGCTGATGGAATTACTGAAAAATATTTGGCAGCAGGTGCGTTTGCTTGCGTCACTGCCACTTTTGAAATACGCGCTCCTCAGTTGGACCATTTACTTTGCGAACATGTTCGGGTACGTTTCACAAATCATACTGCGAGGCACAATCGTCGGTCAGCTTTTGTTAAATTTCCGATTTGATCAGACTTGACCAAGTCCAATTGCAAATGCATTGTCTCGCAGGTATTACGGGTTCGGTTTATGGCTGCCAGAGCTGTTCAATCGTTTCGAGAACTACCACAACCTGTACCCGAATCGAACGGTAACCGTTTGCAAGTTAATCCGAGAGCACGATCTACAAGCTGCTGTCACGCCGGCGCAAGATCTTCCAGTCAACTCGACCAACATTTTAATTAACTCGACGAGCGTCGTTTGTTCCTCCAACTTGGACGAGATGGTGTTCGTCAATTCGCTGACGATCAACGCGTTTTGTTTACTGGGCAATCTCGCGTCTGGTTACTTGGCAAACCGTGTTGGCCGACGAACGATTCCAGGTACGACCTTCGAGTATTTAGATTGGAAAAGCAGATCGCTCGTGTCTTCGAAGTTTCGAATCTTCTTCCAATCCTTTTTCTTTCTTTTTTTTTTTTTTTTTGAAGATCCGAACAAGGAAAATCCGCTTCTGTCTCAGTGTTTCAATTTCTGTTTCAGTGACAACCATGCTGTTGGCCGGAATCTTTGGCTTCGTGATATATTTCGTCAACTCCTCCATGCAGATTCTCATAGTGAGCTGCATGTTCTCGCTGATGATCGTCACGGCGAATTTCGTCATCAGCTGCGTCGTGGTCGACATATTCCCAACGAACGTGGGCGCCGTCGCGATCTGCATGATGACCTGTTTCGGTAGAATCGGCGCGATCGCCAGCAACCTGGCCTTTGGGATGTTGCTCGACATCAGTTGCGAGGTGCCGATCTTTCTGGTCGGCGGTATAGTCATCTGTGAGTGAACGATCAGTACTCTTTCGACCGATCCAATCACGCCGCTCCTTTCAATAATATTCGATAATGTTCGTTTTTCAGTCGGAGGGTTTCTAGCGTTGATTCTTCCAGAGAGAAAAGGTTGAACACTTCCCGGTGCGAGATCAAGATACAATACGCTTATTGCGACGTGTGACGTTCGATTCGCTCCAATACATTCCATAACGCGATTGCATCGTCGATATTTTTGTGAAATATCAAAATTCGTGAACGATTTGCCAGATGTTCCGCAAGTCATTGTAACGGTATGCGTGTTCTGTGTGTGCACGAGTGAAGTGTGTCGTGATCATCATGTAAATACGAAAAATCTGCTGAACGAGTGAAACGAAAGATGTATTATAGAATAAGAACGAAAAAGACCATGATATTTTCGAAACGAAATTCTCATTTTTTGTCTCAACCTTCGTTCGCCACACCTCTTTTTCTTCTTCTTCTTTTTACTATTGTTTAGAATTTTATTTCTATCAGGTCACTTCGTCGTTGCTGGTTGATCGGCGGTGAGGATGGTAAAGTGTATGTAAATAATTGAAGTCACGTTAAAAATTTGCAGCTTCGTATATTTCTTTCTTTCGTAAAAATGAATAGGCGAGAACTCCGTTGCAGTTCTGTATACATAATCATCGCCGTAAGTATTCAAGTTATTCTGCCCATTATCGAGTACAGTTATATTGAAAATAGCGTTTACGAGCGTGATCTCACGGAGAGATGACTAATAATATCATATGATTTTTCTTTACAATGTCGCGCTCTTATCCAATATTCTTATTAGTCTTTGTTACACCTACTAATTTATAGTTCTCGTTACAGACCGTTAATAATAGTAATGTTAACATTGCTGGTATCGTTGTTGGCGCCATCGTACGTCTACACCGAAAGTGTCTCCAAATTAAGTGGAATACAAATCGAAAGGAAGTGATTTCTCATAAGCAAGTATAAAATTTCATTTCGTACAAGTACTTTTTGCAAAGACCAATGCGAACATCTCAATGTTACGAATGTAACGAAATAAATTTTTATCTTAACTTGTATATACTTATTTTCCTATTGGATTTGTTAATTGTCGATAATTCTAGATTGGTAGAAGAAATCACCACATTTTTTTATGTAGACAGATTACGTAGAACACTGTTTTATACATTTATCGCTGTGTAGATGTCCAAGATACACAATATTTGTTGTATATACAATATGTATACCGCTTTAATGGTTCTTCCATCGATCAAGGGAAAGTTGTAAAATGTACACAATTTCGTGATCAAAGAGCTACGATTTATTAAAAACACTTTGTATTCTCAATTCTATTGAAAGATTTCGGAGACATTGTAACTGTTCGTCTGCAAAAGTATAATAATTGGAGTGAAAGGTACGATCATTTGTCGAGAAATTTTTCAACTCAAATTTCGCCAAATTTTAATTCACACAGATGAAAATTGAAAATACAACATTTTGTAACTTACTCCCCTCGATCTAGCCACTCAAGCGAAGAACTCGGCCAACCGACCTTTTCATCCACGGTCAGTTAGAGATTTTCAAGAAAAGTTCATTGAAAATAACATTAATAATATATTACCAAAGTGTGAGATATCTAATATCATTTGTCTATGACGATGAGCTTGCTGTGTAATTCTAAAACAATATTTCGCGTTATCTTTAACAATTTGTTAAATACCTTTTTTCTTTTTATACAGACAACAAATACATATATACATAATGCTTTTTACATCGGAGCGTTAGAAGACGGTATTGAATTAGTAAAAACCTTGGAGCATTTACAAAAATTTTGTATCGAGATGCTTTTGAACAACCCTGGTTCGAATTGTTCAAATCCGCGAGTCAAGATGTATTCACCATTCAAGATTTTCTCCTTTCTACTAAACGATGTTAGTCGATTATTTGGACCTATTGTTACTTCTTTATTTACATCGTTTATGACACACTTTACCTAGATTATAATGTAATCATCGCAATGAGATTCGAGAAGCAACGAATTTTCGATAAAGCAGAGCAAAATTATTTGCAGAAATAATCTCTTCTATCCCATCGAATGCATGTTCATTCTCGTCGTGAAACTGACTTTAAGCTCTTAATTTTTTGTACATCGTCTAATTTAAATTAACTTCCCTTAGCAAATGTTAACTTCAACACTGTACCACAGGAAAATTGTTTGCAACTGTTAATCTAAAAAGCGAATATTTATTAATTCGTTTTCACAACCCATAATGCTTTTGCAACACTATAAAATACGATTTTATACAAAGCACTTTTGGGTATACGTTTATGTACAAACATGTTATATTAATAAATTTACGAATAACAAAGAAAACCTTTGTTCGTAAATAAAGGAAAGGAAATAAATCGGAAAAATCATTAAGTTATATTCGCATGTAATAACCTTTCACACATTTGGATCACTGGTTTAATCAATTTTGCTGTTAATTTTCCTATCGTGTATATTGTTGTTCTCATCGATTAATAATTTTGATCGTTTAGAAATTTACAAAATCAGTAAACCTTAATAGGTACTTATAAAGCGAGATGTACATATTCTCAAAATTATTGTACACTGACTAGAAAACATGCTATTGTGTATGTATTGCTAGTGTAAAGTCAATTCTTTAAACCCTGAAAATTTATTAAAACAAGCTATTTCTATTTTACTTTACTCGACAAACTGTGTCTTCTCTGTGCAACAGACTAGCTCAGAAATTTTTTTCTTCTTTTTTTTTTTGACGTTTTCGATGTTTCTTTAACCGATGAGTAGAGATAATTTTATTGAATGGAAATTTTGCGTTATTCTGACAATGATGATACAATTATGTAGTTACTTTTTTTTCTTCCAAAATGAAACTCTTTTTGTATAAGGCACTAGAATTATTATACGATTGGCTTTCTCGTGAAAAGAAAGAGCACAAATTTATCATTAATACTACGTGTTGATAACTTATATACACACTGTTTAAAAGGATTAGAAAATTATGTTTTAAAAATTTTAAGAAATTGTGCTATGTATTACTTATTAAATTAAACAGTTTAATAACTGTTGTACATATATCATATCGTATGTATATTTTTGTTTTCAACTCAAATAATTTTTAAAGAACTGAGAATATTATTCGTCAATCATTTCAAACAGTGTGACGAATTAAAAAATCCTGTCCTTTAGAAATCATTCAAAAAGTATCATTATCAAACTTCTTTCAACCTTGACGAAAATTCTATCAGATGAGTTACCTATAAATCTCGACGAAATCGTATTAGATGGTCATATTTTAAAATTTACTTAATATGATTCTTTGCTTTACGTTCGAACACATTCACTTTGCTCAATCCTCAGCGCGACTTTTATCGTTTTCTGCATAAGCGGGAAGACAAAGAACGAGTACTTTGCCTTGCGTGAAAAATTATTCGCGAAGCAAAGAGTGAACAACGACAATCGTACGATTACTCTTGGATTTTGCAAGATCGTTGACAAGGGGACAAGAGATGCTTTTTAATAATCGTTTGCACTACGCGTGCACTACGTTGTTAATCGTCTCTCTAAACGGCTAGAAAGGCACTATGTTTCACAGACAATTCCTACGGAGAAACGAACAATTTCCACCCTCTTGAAAATACAGATAATATATTTGAAAATCCTGGTACAACTGAAAACAGGATAATCTTGCCGTTTCCTTGTCCAAAATTAACTTCATTAGGAAATTGTCTCGGACAAAATACTTTTATACTCAGATAATTAGTACAATGGTTGTGAAATAATAAAATCTTAAGCGATGTTTTATAGTAAATTCAAGTTTTAAGTAACAATTTTAAGTAAATTTTAGCGTTAAGGAAGAATTTTGAAATGAAGAAGTAAAAATTTACTTTAAATTCAATCTGTTTCTTTCCCTTCCGGTTCAGTTTATCCCATTTTCCCGCTGCACCATGATTTTTGGCCCACTCTGCAGGTATATATATCTTCAAGAAGCGTTATATGCTACAATTGTACTTGCAACTACCTTGTGAAGTATATATATATATATCTTCATTTTCCTTTTCGATCGATTGCTGCAGTATTATTATTCGAATACTGCAGAACATTTCAATGTATCGACCATTTAATCGAAATATCAAAAATTTCCTTCGAGCAGGGGATAAAGTGGTCAAATACGAGTAGCATGGCAGTTAATGCTGAAATTTTATACTTCTACGTGGTTCGCATTGAAACGCGTTACTTTGTTAATTAAATATTCGTAAGATCCGTATATTGCTTTACGTTGACTACAAAGCTACGAGGAACCTCACACGTTTTGCACAGAATTCGAAAACAATCGATTGGAGCTTCTGAGTAATAGATATTTTGATCTCGGTACGTACGAGTTTTTATTTTATTTAAAGGCCACGTGTACGAAACTTTTGAAATAAACAATAGGTACGATTCACCTTAAAAGAAATTTCCTATCTGTTTGCCGAGAAATATTTTGCATAAGAACGAATTGAAATGAAAAGATGCAACAGGTAGCATCGCCAATACAACAGTAAATAAAACATATAATAATTTATAAATTTAGAAATTAAATATTAATTATTATTAACATCAATAGTACACGCTTGACATAATAATTAAACAATTAACTTAAACATTTTGAAAAAAGAACTTAAACAATTAATTTCGAAAAGTGCTTTCGCTCATACTCCATTGACGAGTAAGCACTATTTAATTTTCTTCAACAAATATAATACAAAACCGTGTAATAAATGAAACATATTTATGATAATTATATACACAAGTTTTTAGCCAATATTTTTATCAGAGGTGTTTGAATTACTTGAAATATATTTCGAATTGTTTTAAATCACGTGACACAAGTCCGCCATTTTTAAACGAAAACGAACTAACCAATAATACGGTTGACGTGAAAACGAACGACAGAAAGATAATAGAACAATTTGCATGTTAAACTATACTATAAAATAGATACGCGTGAGACACGCGTGTGCCCTCAACATTTCATAAGAATACTTACGAAATTAGTGGCCGAAACGCCATTCGTCGGGTACTACCGATGATAGATGACCAAAACACAATTTCCGAAGCACTGACACTAACTGTATCATATTTATCGCGCAAGTGTATGATCAGTTCCGCGAAAATGGATGCGAAAAAGAGTTGTTAAATATAGAATGAATTGAAGACAGAACGAACGTCATATGACGGAAAGAGAAGGAATGAACAAACGAAAGAAAGATTGCTCGTGGAGCAATTGTCGTTCAAAAACAACCCTCGCGTCGCGACGTACCATACGGAACTGTCAAAATATTCCAACTTCGTTCGCTCTAGAGGTCGCTCACCTCACTTACGTTTCAAAAACATCATATATGCTCTCGCCATTATTCTCGTTGTTAAATTAATCAATTTAAGAAATACATTTAAACACGGCTTGGCTGGTCTTTTATCGACGTTAATTTATAACAAATTTATAATAAACAATTACAATATATATATCGTAGCAATAAGTACGAAATGCTTTTAACGAACGATCGATCGATTTTTTTTCGTTCAATAAATCAAGATGTAGGTATCAAAGGATGCTATTTTTTTTTTGTTTTTTTCTGTCTCTCTATTTTATATACAAACTAATCGTTTGATTTATTCCGAAAAGAATACGAATAAATATTTCGTCCGTCAAATTGTATTCTCTCTTTAAACGATCGTCACCCAATTTATACAATTACGACCGGGTCTAGCAAAAATTTTAATTTACACACATTCAGTTACAAAATATCGTTAAGTACACCGTGAACTATACATTCTTTTCTGCGCCTGCTGGTATTATAATCAACGAGCAGAAACGAGCAAATCGTTCGTCGCTTGTTCGTAACACGTGAAGAAATTTCCAAACTCCGAAAAGGAGTTATAACACGTAGGATGCCTGTTCCTCTGATTTGCGAAATGGGGGTTATATAATTGACAAAATAAGTAAACTTACTTTTAATCGAATCTTTACGAAAGAAAATAAAATATTTATACAAATTATATGGATCGCCGTTTGTTGCGCTCCGCGTTTACCTGAACGTCGTTCCGAAAAATCGCTTTCAGACTGACCGCACGCGTTTGGTTCAATTCCAGCGATGAGCCAACCTCGACTGTGTAACAGCAAGTTAGAGCCGTGACAAAAAAAGACTATAAAAAGCAACGTAGCTGTCGTCCGAGATGAGACGACTTTTCGAAAAAAAAAAAAAAAGAAAAAAAATTATTCCTTCTTGTCTCGTTACAATTTTCATCGACGATTCTTAGGCCTATACACGGATAGGATTATACACACAGCGTATCAAGAATACATCTCCATAATTCGTTTGGTCGTTTTGAAAATTTTCACCCGAGACTAACATTTTGTTTGTTCAACGACGTCACAAACGTCAGTGTATGTATTCTTAAGAGTGCCAAATTTCGAATCTCACATACAGGCCAGAGAATCACTCCGTTATAGCTAACTACGTATATAAACATTTCTGTATACATATTAATGTGTAACATTTAAACGACAATATATCCTTCGGCGTGTCACGCGGGCATCGTGCATGCGTCCGCTTTTATGCCGATAAAAACGGCTGTTACGAAAAGAAAAATGTAACTAACGGCTGGAGAAAAAGAAAACTACTACTCGATCAGTCGATTGTGTTTTACAGATGCTTGTGTTGCGTATGAATGAATACGTATGACTGGTGGTACATGTTAAATCGTATGCACGTACATAACATCATCGTCCCGAACTCTTCACACATTCTTTCTTTCTTCTTTTTTTTTTACAGTCGTGTGTTCGATTTTTTTGTTACGCGCAAATCTGTTTACTCTGCATTACACACGCGTTCTCTTCTTCTCTACACGCTGTATACGCGCATTCGAATTTGGAGGTGGATCTTAATGAAGACTTTCTCGCGATAAAATTCGTAAAACGTCACTCACTTACGCTAATTTCTCGTTATCTCTCAAAACTGTACAAAATTAACTGAGAAAACAGTACTTTCCTTTTTAATATATAAATTTAACATTTCCTCTATGATTCGAGTCTATGAACTATTGTTTTATTAAGCATATTGTTTTGTGTCTCTCTCTCTCTGCGTACATGTACATATTTTAACAGATGGATTGCTTTTTCTTTTTCTTTCGTTTATCGTCGGTGCTTCGTAAACGCGTCCGAGAAAAAAAAAGAGGGAAGGACAAAAGAGACCTGGTTCGAACTTTTATCACAGTATCGTATTACTGTAGTACGAAGCTCTCGGGCATTTTGGTGCGAAACGTAGCTCTGGCACGCGGAGTTCTCTCATGCTTTCCTTAGATACACGCACACACACATTCGTTCTATCACTCGTCCATTGCACCACGAAGGAAGCTGGGAAGGCACAGTGTATGTACATATATGCATGTACAGCACCGAACTTTTTGATCGGAGACAACTACAGTAACTCGTGGTACACGATGTTTGGATGTCGATGAAACGTCATTATAAAATTATATACGCAGAAATACCGGCTTACAATGTATAAAATTAAGGAGAAAAATTGAGAAAAGATTTGTGAGATTCTTACAAAAATTATGTTTTCAATTATCGACTAGTTGGATGTTTGTCAAAATTCAATTAAACAGCCAATGAACTGACAAAGACATCTCCAAATCGAGAGGATTTTGATTATTTTTCAAGCTGACAAATCTTTCCTCGAGTTCGATTAAAATCAATGTAAAAGCAGGGGATTTACGCTAAAAATATTGTTACTTTAATCATAAAAATAAAAGAAGTCTTTTTTTGAAGGTAACGCTAAGTACTTTCCCTTTGATTCTGTTGGCAGTGTTCTCGTTTCTTGATAATTTAAATGGATTTCGAAAAAATCCATGCGATCAACGAGCTTTTCTTACTCTCAAACACCATTGACTAGACCTTATCGGAAGCCCAAGTTTTCTGCTTCCTTGCAGTACAATGATTAATCATAAACGAGGACATGGCCAGACAGTAAACGGACATAAAAACTTATACGATCAATACCATAAAAAAGAAATCGGCGCGTCAATTTTACTTTCGCACTTTCTGTGATTTCAGTTAATGTTGTTTATATTATGTTATTCTTAATGCAAGACACGTTAACACGTCAAGCTTAAAAAACGTTAAATACCACTGACTAGACCTAGCGGAGAACCTCCGCTTCATTTTTTATAAAATCTCATTTAACATTGTCAAGAAAGTACAATAGTATCATTGATCGATCAAGAAGGGCATTGCGATACAAAATGGTCGAGCTTTATAATAAATGATAATCGAATACCACGCGCAAACTGTGTTTCCTCCGTTCGCAGGCACAAGAATATAAAACGCTTCTGTCAAATGATTCTCATTTTTCCTCTGTTAATAAAACGACGCTGTTCCTGTATGTATGGCGGCGTACTTTGGTAAGACTGCTGGCGGCGATCCACGTCGTATGAGTATCCGTTGGCAGCCTTTGGGACGGAGCTTCGTCGTTGCTGCGTCAGTTTCACAGATCGGTCCTCTTCGGAGAACGACGAGGAGGAAGAAGAGGCGCAAACAGACGAGACTGTATACCTTTGCAACGAGTTGTAGGGATCACCTGCATGGTGCTAGGAGCACTTCGAGCCAGCATGGGCAAGAGGTGACTTCCTGTCTTGAGTACTTGGGTCCCCAGCCTTTGGCGAAGCTGATGCGGACGGAGTTGATATCGACAGGACCAGAGGCAAAGCCTGAAGTCTGATTACTCGTTCTGGTAGTACCACTGCCATATGGAAGCTGTAGAATTTTGGTATGGTCAAAGATATTCAGACAAAAGCCTGGAGGCACACGATAGACAAGTAGTGTTCTAGACTCCGGATCATCCAGAGTGGGTGAATTCACAAAAATTGGGCTCTCAGATCTGTTGTACGCCCATACACCATCTGCTTCTTGACTAAGCATCAAACCTGCAAGTAAATAATTGGTATCCTTTAGTTCCTACAAAATTCTTTTCAAGATCTTTCTCTGGAAGATCTTTTTATCACGATATACTAAATAACGAAACGAGGAAAACCTACCAAGACCAATTTTGCTTCTTGTTCTTTGGACAGCAGGTGGTGCAACGTGATTTTCAGCCAATGTTGCTAAGCAAAGACCATCGCCATCGTGGAGGGAATCGAAAACATTTACCGTTGAGGGTTCTACAGGGTAAAGACGACCTACTCTACCACCCAGTTCCCAATATGCTAATGTACACCATTCCTTTTGTCCTGTTTCATCTGTAACAGGCAAGACGAATTATTACAAATTATATATAATTACTACCATTATCGTGATTTCGAATAACTACCATATAAAATACCAAAAAAAAAAAAAACATAATGCGCCACTTCCAAATTTTATCCATTTTATAAGGATATACCAATCAAGCTGAAGAAGTCATAAATCGCAAAGCCGTAATCATTTTTTACATTACTGTGTATCTTATTCCCATATATATAAACATAATATTAAAACGATTTTACATTAAAAACAATGTAACATTGGCGACACGATATGCAAATCAAGCGCGTATGTATGTATGTATGTCGCCACACGTATATAGAGACAAATTTTAATAAACGATCGTTTCTCTTGTTAACTCCTCTTCACGAACCCGAAGGAACTTGTATCCAACGACTGGTAAGTTTGTTAATTGAAAGTTCTCGATAGCGTGGGCATCAAAGAATTTAATCTACCGTTTTTATGAAGAACTTCCACGAAACGCGATACACAGGCGTGCCACGGAACGAGATGAGATCTGTCATTAACGAGGAGTCTTTCTTTCTTTCTTTCTTGGTAAAAGTGTCCATTCGGCGAGAGGCTGCGGGCGTACGGGCGGTATCATAAAGGACTTGTCGCCGGAAAGTCCCACGTGTCTCGACGGCCGTCGTGGGGATGACGACGGCGCCAGATTCGAGAGTAGACAAGGAGAAAGGAAAAAGAATACGCTGCGGCGCAGAATGCCAGAAGTTACACATATTTATGGGAGAGGATACGATCGAGAGGAACTTTCGGCTCGTCAACTTTAAAATCGTCAGGACTTTTCTGCAAACGCAAATTCTTTTCATATAGATATATTTAAAATATAATATTTAAATAAAATATTACAGTATTCAAATAAAAGAATAAATCATAGTTTTTCTATGTATATATATATATTAGTACTTTAGTAGTATTGTATAGTACTTGGTTATATAGCAGTATAGTAATACAATATAGTAATATAATAGTTATATATATAGTTATACTATATTGTATTTTAATTATATTTAAATATAGTTAAAATACAGTATTTAATACAATATTTATATATATTAACTATATTTAAATATAGTTAATATATAGTATTTAAATATAGTTAAATATAGTTAATATATAGTATTTAAATATAGTTAAAATACAGTATTTAAATAAAACAATATCATGGTCTTTCTCTCTTTCTCTCTCTCTCTCTCTCTCTCTCTATATATATATATATATATATATATATATATATGTATGGCCGAGCAGATATACATGAGAAAAGAAATTTTTAATGCGAACGACAAAGTATTTGCTCGGCAACTTTCTATGTCAATAACTCAGATAAAAAACGTGGTAAAAGAACTGTCGTCTATCGGTCGGTGATGCTCGATTTAGCCATCGCGAATATTTACCAAATCGTGTTTATTTGGTTCGTTTTAGCCGATGATTAATGGACACCGGTTCGACATTCAAGGGGATATCGGGAACGCCTGGCAGCGAGATAAAAGGACGCGGAGAGCCCGCAGGTGGAGTTGATTGGCGCCGTTTTATCAGACGGTTCTTTAAAAAAAAGCGAACATCGAAAACGCTTTTAAATATGCAAAAACACGGAGAACGAAACGGGGCTCGACCAATAAATCGATCGTAACTTTTTTGCTATAATTAACGTGCCACCGCGCAACACGTTGACGTCCGAACCTATCCTAACCTGTTCCTGGATCGGGAACGTGTTTACGCCATCTTTCAACGGCACAGCGAACTTATCTCACTCCAAAAGCTTCCCAGCGGTAGGTAAAGTACCTTGTTCAATTACCGCCGTCCGCGTAATTTCCAATCGAATCGTGGCGATCCCGTTGTCGAACGGGATGAATTTTAAAAACTGCTCGCGGCGAGGCAAGGGGAGCCTTTCGTCCGAGATAGACGGTGAAAGGCAACGAGAAGCTTGGAGATAACGAGAAGGATCGGCAGCGCGACGAGACTCGGTGAGACCGGTCATTCCGCGCGGAGGCTGAATTTAGAGGTTAAGAGTCAGGAAGAAGAGAAGGCGGCGGTGGAACACGGGTGTGTCGAACAGTACACGTTCTCTAGTGTGGAAGGGGAGGGAAGGAGGGAGGTAGAGCAGGGGCGGGGCCCCTGCTTCCACCACACACAGATAAAAATAGATATTACGAGTTTACCGCGGCGCCAAGATTGCGGGGTATCGCGACGATTACGTCATCGGTAGTAGCGCGAGTGGTTGGAGCAAGGACGCTTGTCGCGGTCGTCGTCGTCGTCGTCGCGGCGAATCACGAATTTTTGTGCCCGTCTACGAGATCGTCCACAGCCAGCTTTTCAACCCATGGGGCTCGCCACGATCATCTAAGGTTGGCGGACGTCAATCTTAACTTCTTGCGCTAGTAACTAGTAACTGGTTGACGGACCATAACGAGTGACCAAACCGTATAAATATAATTCGTCATCTTTTTGAATTCATCGGTACATCGCTGGATAGAAATTACTAAGAAGTAATAAATTTATTATTTGTTTTTTGCCTGGGGGTTGTACTTAAGTATACTTAAAACTGAGGAAATATTGCAATTTTGAGCTAAAATAGTGGCACGTCGTTCCAGTGCACAACGATTCTCAGTGAATCGCGTTCCTTTCACAGTCCCTTTCTTACGCATGTATACCGATAGGAATTTATCGTTCTCTGAAAGTCGATGTCTGATCGAAGCTTAAAACACAGTCGAGATTACACACGTGTTCTGAGAATACGTACACGTGATATTTAACGTCGATTTTTTGTTAGTCTTTCCTGGAAGGGAAATGAGATTTAACTGACAATCGCGATGTGTTTCTTCGCGATTGTCACGAAACAGTTTTCTTTTTTCTCTTTATTTAATAAAACAGATTCAAGGATCAGTTTCCTTTACTACGCGTAAATTACTTCCGGATAAAGCGAACATTGCAACAATTTCTTGTATACAGTCTGCTGCTCAAATTAAATCGATGATTCGACGAACAATCACGCTATTTGGGAAATTTTATTACTCGTAAAATATGTATTTTGGTATGGAACATTTTATTCTCAAACTATTCTATCCAATGTGTGTATGGCAAGCTAATAACACAAGTAATAAATTCAAGGAGGCGAAACACTGTGATGTCTGAATGGGCCAATTATCTGAATCACTGAATCAGCAATATGCTAATTACACGTGACAAAATTATTTCACAACACTGACATAAGATAGCATACCGTATTGTAATATACATCGATATCGTGCAAATATCAATGGATAACATTATCGCTATAGTTTTGTTTTGTCACTGCGATACATATTATTTGCAAAGTAAAATAAAAAAAAGAAAAAAATCCTATTAGAAATTGTCGTGTTAAGCTTGTCTTAAATCTAGAAATGCACAATACGAAAATCACGGCGTGTTTGTCAAATGAATCGTAATAAAGTTTTATTAAGAATTCAATTGTTTGGCCTGCAACGGCCTAATGCGTTCCATTACATCACAACGTTCATAAATACTGTTTGCGTTCATTCCAACTTCAACTATCAATAATTCAGCGGCTATTCAACATTTGTGCTTGTCATTATTGAGCCTCGCATGCCGAGATCAGTTTTATCGATTACCAACGGCGTTGTAAGACTATCGTGGAAACAAAATATGAGTACAGAAGCACTCTTACGAAACGAACTATTAACCCTTAATTACTTACTCGCAGATATTCGTATTTTTGCCATTACCGCAGCCGTGCAGTGTCCGACATTACTGCTATACATTGGCATCGTTCTCGCAACAGAACGAATTAATAAATCCACTAATATTTACAGGATATTTATTAAACTATCGCGTTACAGTTTGTTTAACGCTTCAAACTTTCAAATATCGTGAACCTCGTTTAGAGTTTCCAAGTTTCAAATTTCATTAAAAAAAAAAAAAAAAAAAAAAAAAAAAACGTGATCTATGATATGTAAGAATTAAATATTTTCAAGCCAAGACGAGAATGTCTCATAAACAACAGGCCACGAGATAGTAATAATCGCACGATGATCACGGGCTACGTGTTGATTCGATGCGTGGTAACCGACCACGTAAAATATTATGAGCTGTACAAGCTCATTCGCCGCGTTTGCAATAAAGCTGTACCCTTCTAGGTGATAAATGGATACTTAATCCTGACGTCTCGCCAAGATATAGCCTACTAACATCGCAAGCTTCTGTCTACGTTGCTACTGAATGTCCTTATCCTACTTTAACATTGTTTTCGCCCTTTCGAGGCTTCTACTCTTAACAATCTCGTTTCGTTTAGTTTCTTATTATGGTTATATCGTTGTTCAACTCTTCCTAAATTTCAATTCTCAAATTTCAATTCTCGAACGAGACATTTTCGCGTGTCCAGTATCACCGAGACAAATAGTTTCCTTTCTTACGACGTATCTCTTTTTTTTTTCTTTTTTTTTTTTTTTTCTACAATTTGCGTGCGGTTGTCAACGAAGCCTGACAAATTACAGGCTAATGAGCTCGTGCATACTGTCTTGAACATTCACATCGCGTCTCGGACGCGGCGAGCGACTCTGGAAAATTGAAAGCAAATTGTGCCCTGTAATAAAGCAATTCTGGCCGGTACACTGAAGATCACGATAAAAGAGCAATTGTGGAATTCAGCTGCAGCTTGCAGTTAACTGTCCTCGTTTGTGTACCCGCGGCACTGCTGTATCATTTCACGTCCTCCGACCAGATTATACGTCTAGCGATTTTACTTGAAGGACCGACTTCCGTTTAGAGATATTCCAGCGGTGGCTGCGGTGAAAAAAAAAAAAAAAAAAAAAAAAGAAAAAATCCTCGCGACGAAACGTTTTATAGAAATAATCGAGAACAATTTACTTTTTCAGACCGCAGGTTGAGAACGTTGCATACTTCGCGCAGTGTACATGCTTGTACTTCGTGCCTCGAAACACGGTTATTTTTGCACACTGCGAGAACACGGTTTCCGCGCGACCGCTACAGCTACTTATGGCAATTGGTATGCAGCCGGGGAGAGATCGATTCCTTCGGGTGACTCGCGATCGTTCACGA